TTAGCGTCGAGAGGGGTTCAAAAATTTGTTTGAGTCGTGAACTGCCCCGAGTTCTGACTATCGTTTGGATCTCAGGTTTTGCGCACTTATCCGATATACATTTAGATGAGGTTTTAAGAGCTAGGTTGAATAGCAAAGTTAAGTGTCAAGTCAAAAATTAGCAGGAAATTTAACCCTTGTCTATTCTGACCCAACATTGAACTATCCCCTCGTCTGTTAGACTTGTGCAAATTAGCGTAGTTATCAAATAGTTTAAAATTTTAACAAGGATTATGTTGGACGTCTCAAGTGGTTGTATTGGTAGCCTATCTCAGGGATGCTATATACTGCTGTGCGGTGCGCTAGTCCATAATAGGAAGCCTAGGCTCCAACAGATTAGAATGACTCAACCAATAGAATCCTCATACAATTTATATGGGATATCTATTGGCTCAATTTCCTTCCAAAGACCCACAGAATCCACCTACCCACCCAGCTGGCAATAGAACCCACGAAGGAAGAAACTCTCATTAAGGAAGAAGCTGAGAAACTTGGTTAAACCTCTAGTCCATGAATGAGATGATCTATATCCATTTGGCTAACTAGCTTAATTAGGTCATACCAACCCCCCCCCAAGACATGCAAGAGAAAGCTGGAAGACGTCATAGCTGATATACCACCTTGGAATCAGTCCAATGAACTCCTGTGAAGCCTATATATTGAGTGCCAATTCTAACTTACCTCCTGATCTTGATATCATCGAGTCTCTACATGTTATTTAGTCTATATATCTCAGAGAAAGACTTCCAACTCATATCCAATTTAACCAATGCCTATGCCTGAATTCAAATGGAAAAGGAGTCAGATAAGCATGCTAGAGACTGGAAATTTACTAGCTCTACAAATATCAAGGTATTCTTTGGTATATTAATCTGTATAGGGATACACGATTTTCAAAAGTTACAAAATATTGAAGGAATGATATTGAGCAAGGACCCATTAATCTATTCCAATTTCATATGGGATTGATGATGTTTCAGCAGATCAAGAGATATATTCATATATCTGCCCCCTGAAAAGTTCAAAAATGAAAGAATTGATGATATAAGCTTGGGGTTTTGACTTTTAGCTTTCATGATCCTTGCAGGGAATACTATTCCTGGATCCAATCATGCATTAGATGAGATCATGATTTGCTTCTTTGGTCAGAGTTCGCATACCTATAATGCGTGAGAGGCCTATTAAGCAGGGATATAAGGTATATGGTCTAGGAAAACAGGGTTATCTTTGGACCTTTTCCTGGTCTAGTTACCAATTGGGTGAGAAAATGCTCATTTATTCCTCACTGAGCTGGACTGAATCTATGATGATGAATATGATTTGAATAATTCAGGGGTTTCCGCGGCAAATTCCCTACTAGGCTCTATGGGGGATATCCTAGGGTCGGCTCAGTGGTGTGGAAAATTCGAATTTGATATTGATATCATAGGGAATTACCAACCCCACATTCAACCCCCTGTTCAACTAGTTATTTAGTGTCCTGAGGAATCAATCTGCAAGGAAATCTCATTCTATTCAATTTACATGGACAACTACTTCGCCTCCGTTCATCTATTCAAACATCTTCATGATCATGGCTTTGGAGCTTGTGGAACTACTAGGCTCAAACAACTTCCACCTCTACTAGTTGAACTACGCGAACATTCAATCTCCAAGAAGATTCCCTGGAATACTCTATGTGCTATACGTCAAGATAAAGTTCTCTGTCTAGGTTGGCAAGACAATAATATGGTATTAGCATTGACTGCCCTTCATCCTCGTGACATCTTTGTTATTCGAGAGTGAAAACGGTCAGGCAAGACCTCAACTGATGAAACTGAGGTTAGAAAGTCGAAAGTCTTTGGAGATCTTCCAGTCAAGGAATTGCCAATTTCTACGATTATTGATGACTATAATCACTATATGAACGGGTTTGACTCAGAAATCATTATAGGGAATCCTATAAGACTCATAGAACTACATATCGCAACTGGTTTCCTATAGCTAGTCAGCTACCCAAGCATATAGACTTCCGGGAGAAGCTCTATCAGCAACTCTTTGTCTTTGCTTGCTCAACCCATGATCTACCATCTGAACGCTTGGCCCCTTCATTGAATCACACCCGGATTTCCCACCAAAAGCGCCTATCTTGTGTGTGGTGTCAATATAAAAGAAAGAAGGGGTCAAGGGAAGCAAAAAGAACTGGGTCGGTCAGGCTTAGGTTGTTCAGCATGTGTAGGGGGTAGCTCTATGCTTGAAATCTCGATGTTGGGAGGAATTCATACTACAGAGGAAGTGTGAAATATGGTTCAATAAATTACCAATTTCATTAGAATATCAATATATTACCATTGGACTATATAAATAAATTACACTAACGAAACCACGTTAATTTGCACAGGTCTGGCAGACGTGGGGATAGTTAACCCCAGAAAGGTCTTAAGGAACGACAGATACAGGTGAAGATAAGATAAGTCAAGATAAGATATGAACTTATTAACATTCTCCATGGGTCCGTCTATCTATCTATCCATGGGATGGGATGATCCCCCACATGTGTCAAGGCAAACGAAAGGTTTTAAGCATGTCTGCGCCTGGGTGCTCCGTACCATGCTAAATATGGAAGACTGCTCCTGTTACCGAAGCTCTAGATGTGGGGATGAAAAATGGGGAAGGAGGAGCGAGAAAATCTCTCTGGATGCACTGTAACAACCGACAAGGACGAAAAAGCGGAGAAAACATAGTTGCCTAGGCGTAGTTAACGTGGGTTTGAAACCCATTCTTCAACCAAGGGAAGAGCGTTGCCATCGGCTGGTTCGATGGATCGGGGCTCAAACCAGAGAACCTTGAAACCCTCTTGATTGAGTGTGGGGAAATAAACAGTCGAGGGGGCTAAATTACTCTAACCTTAAACGAATTGGGTTGGTTTATGTTGGAGATTCGAAATGAGCAAAATGATGTGGTCGCCTTAGGTAACTTCATCAGGATTGAGTCGTCAGCGATACGGTGTTTTTGAATAAAATTATCCCTGTTTCGCAACCAGAATTCTAAATTTTTGTCTGAAATGGCAATAGAGAGTTCCAGAGGTGACTGGCAGCTGCTCGCTCTGGCGCATAGACGGTTTTTTTTTTTTTTTTTTTTTTTCGCATTTGAATGGGAATGATTGAATTGACCTGTCAGGCTTGAAGTCATTAAAAGTCTGGATAATGGTTCCTATGAACCGAGATCTGTCGGAGTCATGTGCACGTACCAACATTCTGGACCATCTGTGGTAGTTTCACCACCCTCAACACCAGGGTTAGGAGTAGATTAGGGGGTTAGGATTAGGGTTAGAGTTTATTGCATTTCAGTCTGAGAAATAAAATCGCCAGTTTGGTTTTGCTATCACTCATCCGTCTGCCAGGCTGCCATAGCAGAAGGACGATTCCGATCACCCTTAAGGCATGGGAGTGGGATCCAGGGAGATGGGACTCGGTCAAAGTCGTTCCCGGCAAACTAGACCTTCTGCTGCTTTGGCATGCAGAGTCAGCGGTCCCAGACACAGTGATCGGCATGAGCTTCAACACGCAATCAGCAGCAGACAGGAAGTGTCATAATCGCTGGCACAACCGCCCAGTCAACCGTACAGGGTGTATGGAGACCGGAGGCAGGAGGCACTAGACATGGCGTGCCCAGATTGTTGGCAAATCTCCACGACAGCCACCTGGTGAAGAGCTGAAAGGCGGATAAATTCAAAGGTCAAAGAATTAATCGCAATCAAAACGAGAGTGCCCGTTCTATTTTTCGCCATTTAACTTCCACCCTTGAAACGCGAAGTACAATTTTGGTTCAGAGTACTGGTGGATGAGCACGCAAGCCAGAGTTACCAAAAACTGCACCAGCTGCCACCAGAATCGTTGAAGCGATTCATTCCGCTTCGGTGTCCAAGGCGAGATTCGATGGGGCCCGATTCACGCGTTCTAGGGTCATAAGTAGCTATCCACCTTGCGGGGACTCCTTACAACGCCAAACCAAGAGTCGATATTTTTATCTCGTCGACTTCAAAAAGTGGATAATCCATTACAAGGCTACTACAGTTCTCGAGAAACTACGCCATAAAACAACCGCAGAGAATGGTTAGACTGCCCAGGAGGAGAGACGACAGGGATCCAAGCGGACGGGGGGTCGCTTCCATGTCACCTGACTGGCGATGGGAGACCTCCAGACCTTTAAGCCTCCTCAGAATGCGGAAATATCTTCTTCCACCTGCTCCATCATTTCAACCATAACCTCTCTCGCTCTGCCACGGACGTCCAGTCACTGCAGCACAAGAGCCGGCGTGCTGTGAGCTGACATCTTGCGTGGCCTAACCCTCCCCTCTTCATTGCTCTGCAACTCACCAGTAGTTCAAAAACCACAGTTTTGGGTGCTTGAACCCGGGCGATAATAACTAATCCCATCTCTTTAAGTAGCCGTAGATCTGGAATAAGTGGAGATTTCGACAGACCTGGTCCACGAACTGCCAAGCAGGGTTTCTTATATCTTCGAGCGACTCTGCGCCCTTCTTTCCCTAAGCGACATTCCACATCTGATGACGATTTCTCTCTGTCGCAAACAGTCATTCCGCGCGCACTCTCTTGTGCCATTCACATCACTGAAGTTGTTGTCCATTGTGTAGGTATTTCTGGTTCTAGCTCTTCTACATCATGGTTTCCGTCTCACAAGAATCAATCTGTCTGCGCTCTGCTTGTTCTGAATTTAATCCATCATTGTGGTGCGCTGTTGCATGTGCTTGGTGACAGTGAGGGGTGATATTCGTCCACAACTAGGAATACAAATACTGATTTAATCTGCTACTTAGAACCCACCTTACCACCTTAACTCCGCTCTCCGAGTTCATTTGTCCAACACAACTACTATTGTGCGTTACGCGATCTGGTATATTCGCCCCAGTTATGCCCCGAGGACGTTGATTTGTTCAACCGACAGGGCATTGAAGATCAATGGCGGGAGGGAGTGGTGCCGAAGGCCGGGCGGTGGAGCAAGCCATTCAATCAGGTCCTAATGCTCAAGCGGGGAAGCCAAAGTCGAGATTAAAATCTCAAGACAGCGCGACGGCAGTGAAACGACGCTGTGTTAGCAGCGCATGCATTGCTTGTAGGAAACGGAAGTCTAAGGTATTGGCAGGCTCACGTCAATCATATTCTAGCAACGATTATTCATTGGACTGATGGACTGCGCTTACAGTGCGATGGAAACACACCTACTTGCGCCGCTTGCGGATCCGTATATCATACACCATGTATGTACCACCAAGTGAAATCGCAAGATCTGATATGATATTGACATCCATCCTTAGGTATATACGACCCCAATTCGGACCACCGTCGAAAGGGAGTATACAAGCAAGATATTGACAACCTAAAAAATCGTAATAGCACTCTCCAGACACTGGTTCAGGCCATCCTTAGCTACGATGAAGCGGATGTTCCAGACCTTGTTCGACAAATACGGTCGGGCGAAAATCTGGAGGAAGTAGCAGAGACTATATTAGAGCGAGAAAAGAAGGCGAGCAAGACTGCCGTTCCGGAGGTGTTTACGGACGAGGACGTCGGTCAAGCGAGTGATGTGCCCAAATTCGAGTCTGAGCTGGCAGGGAAGATGAGTGAACTGGTGCTTGACGGCTCAGTAAGATTTGTCGGGGGCACTTCGAATTTAATATTTCTACCTGCAGAGTTCTCCTTAGAGGAGCCGGATACCTCCTTTGGGCTGCTTGAGCCAGTCAAAGACGCGGACGAGTTCATTACTGGTTGGACCGAGGTAACAAAAAGCAAAGAACTGATATGTCATCTGTTGACCATGTACTTTACATGGCACTACGCATATTTTACGACCCTATCGAAAAAGTTGTTCTATCGTGATTTTGTTAAGGGGCGGTCCAGCCAACATTGCTCATCGCTCCTTGTTAATGCTATGCTAGCCCTTGGTTGCCATTTCAGCTCATGGCCAGCCGCACGAAGAGACCCGGGGGACTCCGCAACTGCTGGAGATCATTTTTTCAAGGAGGCTAAAAGGTTATTATCGGAGAACGATGAGCATGAAAAGGCCAAACTATGCACCGTGCAAGCGCTTGCATTGATGTCAGTACGCGAGGCTGGTTGCGGGCGAGAAGGCTCAGGCTGGGTATATAGTGGGATGAGTTTCAGAATGGCTTACGATTTAGGTTTGAATGTCGATGGTACGGGGATCACTTCTCATATTCTTCCTGATGAGGATATCGACGCTCGAAGAATAACATTTTGGGGATGCTTCCTTTTCGACAAGTCAGTTTATTTATATATCTTACCCCAAAAATGCTTGTTTGACTAGACTAATATGCGTGATTGCAGATGCTGGTCTAACTACCTAGGACGCCAACCCCAGCTTGTAACCACTGGTATCAGTGTCCCCAAGTTTGACGTCTTCCCTGATGAAGATTTCGAAATGTGGTCCCCGTACACAGATTCAGGCGTCACACATGAGCACGCTCAACCATCTCGAACACGGGCAGTTGCTCTTCATATATTACGGCTATGTGAGATAAGTAGCGATTTACTGGCTTCTTTCTATCACCCAACGGCTCTGGAAGGGCAGATTGGAAAGCAAGAGGAGTTGAAGCGACTAAGCCAGCTTCATACGAGGTTAGAAGCCTGGCGCAAAGTTCTTCCCAAAGAAATGGAACCCAAGGAAGGCCAGCTGCCCCAGGTGTTGCTGATGCAGTAAGTTTTTCAAAACAACGCCACCGTGCCATGAAATATACAAACCGGACCTGACTGACAAAATCTCAGCATGTTCTTTCAATTACTCTTTATCCATCTTTACCGTCCATTCCTCAAATATACAAAATCAACTTCTCCTCTTCCAAGCCATGTATCTCCTAGAAAACTGTGCTCACAGGCTGCATCTATGATTTCGAAACTGCTTCGATTTTACAAACGCACATATGGATTCCGCCAAATCTGCAATATTGCTGTATACATTGCACATTCAGCTTGCACAATTCATTTACTTAACCTTCCAGACAAAACCGCCAAACGAGACCTGATTCATGGTCTCAAAAACCTAGAAGAGATTGCGGAAAGTTGGCTCTGTGCCCGCCGGACTCTACGGATCTTGGAAATCTCGGCGCAGAAGTGGCATGTTGATTTGCCAAATGAAGCCGTGGTAATTCTTGAGCGCTCACATACAAGATTCGGGCCCTGGGGATCCTGGGACCAGGCCCATTCTCCATCGAACTCAGACACATCTCACAAGGACGCACTGCGGCTTGAAAATCTACAAACCTTTGGAACTCCTGAGACCATTTCAGTACCCCCGGAGCCTTCTATTACTGCGCCTGTAACAACTGTTCCTCCTCCCATACCGAATCCTTCCCTTTCACAATGTCAGCGATTTTCCCCGATGCCCTATAAGCCTTCACAACCACCGCAGCCACAAACTGCGCATCCAACCCACTTTCCCTCTGCCACAATTCCCGACCATACGTTCTCTGTGCCAGCTCTACAAAGCCCCTACCGTGCCAACCACAATGCTGCCCAAAACCGTGATACCTGGACAAGTACCCGACAGTCTCCTGTTGGTGCTTCTACTGGAAGTAATACCCCCTCTGTTATGAACACTCCGCAACCATCGGCACTAGGAGGTATGGAAAATCTAATTGAGGCAAGCCAAGACTGGTGGTTGAAAGATCAAAATGCCCTGGCATTGGGGTTAGATAATTGGGGTGATGGTTGGGATAGTGCTGCCAGGCCGGTTGGTTCGAGCCTGGCCTTTGAACCCAGTGTTCCAGCGGTTGCTCTCGGGAGCACTCAACAGATGATCAGGGGTAGCAGCTACAATTTTGCGTCTGGGCAGCTGCCAAGTGTTAATACTGGCATGGATATAACAAACATGCCGTTGGCGCTTCCAGGCTACGATGCTGAGCTGACGGAGGAAAGCCAATTATGTGATAATCAGGAAATCAATCCGGCACAACAACTACCAACGACAATGGCGGGATTTGAAAGTCACGGTCAGCTGTATTATTGACCTCAGTCTCCACCGTTCAATAAAAACGAAAAAGTTCAAGGGAAGCATATCCGGTATAAAACATATCCTTCGAATAGTTCCCTCGCATATCCACTAATCATATTATTGAGGGTTCATATAAACAAAGGAAAGTGAGTGGAATTTTCAGTATAGAATTGTCTTGCACCTTTTCTTTCCTCGCTCGTTTTCTCTCCCTCGGTTGGCAGGATGTTAACACGGCCCAAATGAAGGACTCAAAGAGGCAGGTTGACTATCTTCCTCAATTCCACTCTTTCTTTACCTTCACTTGCACATAATTTTTCTTTCATTTTACCTTCATTTGCCTGGATGTCAGTGTAACGGGTATGTCATGATCACGACGAAGCCATTTGCATTTTTTAGTTACCATTCTCATGGTTCTTGTTTATCTTTTGCATTTCTGTTTGGTGGTTCACATGCAATTGTGAGCTTGGTCTATTTGGCTGTAAGGGGGAACTGGAGAGGAGTTTGCTTGTGCTTTCATTTCTTTCTTCTCCTCTCTCAAACGTAAATTGGCCAAGCAAAAAGATATATATAAATGTAAAACCTATGCATATATATGTAGATAGATGTTTCCATATTTACTTACTTTGTTTCCGTCCATGAGCCATTGTTCGGTTCGAGGGAATTAAGTCATATTACTGTAAGTTCGGAAGTTCCATTTTATATGCCCCATTTTATATTGGAACAGTCGGAAGGACTCCGCCACACCCAAGATATCTGGAATGCATCTGAACCAAAAAGGGCCTACGATATCACCGTCCAACATCTTTGGATTTAGGTTCTCAGAAGTCAGACTGCTGTCATGCGCTCTTCCCAGACGTGTCACTCTTGCTGTAACGCTGAATTTGCGCTTGAGTTGCCTTTCGATTTCAGATTTGTTCTACCTGCAAAATATGGGGGACATAAGAACTTGATGCCGTGCCAAAATTGCTCTGGCGGGCGTTTCCCCTCCTGGCAGGGAATCTAGAAATTAACAGCCTTCGTTAACTACCTCTCCCAAGGGTGACTTTCAAGTACTTCCCAGTGAAAGCACTTCCCAGTGAAAGCAATAAGAATAAAGTGCAGGTAGTGCTAGAAGATTTGCAGAGCTTTACCGATCTATGGTTATAAGTTCTCTGAACGAGCTTGGCCTCGAGTGAAGATCCATGGATCCCCATCTCGAGGACGGAGTGTAGGCAGGATCCGCTTGTTATTTTCCATGGACGAACTTTCTACGGAAACTAGCCGAGCAATCCATGCACTTCCCCGTTCATAGACACGCTTCTAGCGGCGCATCTTTATTATCTACCCTCGCGTACTCTGCCGGACATTGAAGAGCAATCTTTGTTTGTGTAAGCGGTAAGAGCTTATTCCTCTAACTATTCAATCTGTTATCTCAGGCTCAAAAGCCCCCTAACTAACAATAATTTCTCACCTAGTGCTGTGATGATGAGAGTAAATGAGAGTCTTTATATGTGTGTTTTTCACTTAGACGGAGTATCAAGAGCTGCCTAGCAAGCATCCACATATTTTTTCCAGCCAGCACAGAAGGTGTTACGAAATCAGCCGATCAGGGAGGCGGACAAGGCAGGGAAAGGGTGGTTTGGCTGGGGCTATACTTTGTTATTCGTTACTCCGAACTTGGATTCGGCCGGCTAGCTATATATATTGCTGTTGGATGGTGTAAAAATGAGGGAAAATGAGAAAATGAGAACGGAGAATTTGATTCCATTTCCATACTCTCACTCTCCTTCTCCCCTCTTCTGCATAGGTTAAATACTTGTTGTTCTACGCAATTTTCGCAGAGAAACCAGGGGATGTACCAAGTATAAAAGGGTATATTGTAAAATGACGTTAGAAAAGGGCGAGGTGAAAAGACAACAATGTAAGGCAGTGTTGCAGGTCATATGCCGAAGCGAGGAGAGGTAAGACGCTCTTGTCATCTCTTTTGGTATGATGTAGTAGATGGTATCACTAACGCACCTTTGTTAGATGAAAGTGTTTTCCATAAAGATGACACAGTTTATAGTGGCAGAATAAGAAGACAAACGAACTGAGAGGGCAGTATGGAGAAAAAAGAAGTTAAAGAATAGAAAATGACATACCAAAAAGTAATCCGCTGCCGGTTTTTTTGCCGGCATACCCCTTGTATTATGCGCCGCCGCATCAAATACCCTATATCTCCTCCCGGGCCCCAAAATCCTTCTCTGTTGCTGTTGGTGTCTTAAATCAGTTATAACACCAGAGCTCCGTCCGTAGTCGCCATTACTCCTCGGAATTGTGCCTCCATGACTCATATCTTCACCAAGTTCCAACATTGCCGCCACATTGCCACACCTGTAACAATAATTCGGCGCAGACCAGACAGTTACAATGCCACCGTCGAACATCTCCTTGAACCCTTCCATAACAAGCTGATGGGCACGTGCGATGAGTGAGATGTCATTTTTGTGGCTGAAGTTTTTAACGATGTCAGAGCCAAAGAGAAAGCCTGCACCCCGCGGGGATAGACCCCAACCTTCAATTTCTTCCGGATCGGACCAGAGAAGGTCGCACATGGGACCCTCGTGTGGCACCTCTTGTTTTCGGTCGATGAGACGGATCCTGTCAATGCTGTCTACCAGTGGGGACAACCCGCCGTGGACGCAGAAGACGGCGCCGGTGCTACTCCCAATACTACCCATGCTATCTGAAGTGGCGCTGGTGCCCGCGGGACCGGTTCTCATTGGAGTAGCCACAGGTGCTGAGGAAGATGTGTATATAGACGGCGATATGTCCCTTATTACATGTGAGCCATCGTGTGAGCCTCCATCGCTACCATCCCTTCGTCTATATGTCGAATACGTAACCTCGCCTTTTGCATTTAGTACTTCAGACTCGATCTCTTCATCTCCTGTACCCATGGTGGACTGGGTGGAGTCATTCACCACCGGGACCGACGATTCCAATTCTGAACTGGCACCCAATATCAACGCGCCCAAGGCCAAATAATCAAACACCTCACAACAATAACGCCAAACATTTGCACTACCATATTTCCGGACACATTCATCGTAAAAGCCATACACAGTCGTGATTTGCCTCGATTCATGGTTGCCGCGGATCAGTGTGATGCGATCGGGATATCGGACTTTGAGGCATAGGAGGAGAAGGAATGTTTCGAGTGAGTAGAAGCCGCGATCTACAAAGTCGCCCATGAACAGGTAATTCGTATCTGGGACGTCGCCACCAACGCGAAATAGTTCCATCAGGTCATGGAATTGACCGTGAATGTCGCCGCAGATGGTCACCGGTGCGTTAACGGATACAACATTTCCTTCTTCGATGAGGAGCTCGCGCGCTTTGTAGCAGAGTTCTCGTACTTGATGTTCCGGAATGGGGCGACATTCACGGAGTTGGGCAATAGCCCTGGATAAAGGGAGGGATGGCGGGTTAGTTAAAAGTTTCGATATATGAGCAACGTCAAGTTGAGGGACATCAAACTTACTTGTCTAAATCGCTCATGGTGAATTTTCCCTTGTGGAGAGCGACGCCTAGTCAGTCGTCTGTTCGTATCCTGCCCGACTGGTTGAGGTTTAAGGAAGAAGGTAACTCGAGGCGGGATCAAGTCGCGTGATCGCTCCAGTATCGGAAAGACGAAGTCTCTCAGCACAACAGCCTAGGATCGACGTGCGCACGGCCACAGGCGGAGGCGAGGCTGGTCTATGTCTGCAAGGGAACGAAACTCATCTTCCTTAGAAAAGACTATCTCAGGAGATGACCATGGACACTCTCACTGGGGGTTGCGGTGGGTTGTTTCGCCAGAGTTGGTTTGGGAACTGGGGAGCTTCCAAGGTTTGCGAGGGCGGTTAGGCTTATATAAGACGGGCAAGCGTTAGTTAACTAGTTAGTTAACGTAGCTAGTTTTAACTAAACTAGTTTAACTGTTAATAGTTAGTTAGTAGTTAATAGTTAACTAGCCGCAAGATAAGATTAGATTGATCTGATCTGTGCGCCTGTGATTGGTCTGCGAACTTTATCTCCTCGAGGTCAGTATCAGGCACCGTTACGGGATATTTTTTTTAACTCCCCAGGTCCCTATCAAAACCCCATTTTTCAATGGGAAGTCTCATATATGCTTTGTCCGATGAGAACCACTTAAAATGGGCATTGTAGCCAAGGATGGTTTGGATGTTAGAATTAGAACTATTTTTCTCAGCTAGGAAGAGTTGAAGCCAAGTAACTGAGTAAATGCTTCGCTGGAGATTTCAAAAATATATACATGGATAAGAAGAATTCTTTCCCGTACAATGCAACAGTCAAGTTATCAATGCTTTAATTTGAAATGCCAGAAGAGGACCCCAAACAAGAGCAAATGCAATGTCTATCAATCATGTGTGCTTTGTCTACCATTGCTAACCCGGAAACACAAGTGTCTATGATCTGATTGGAAGGCTAATGGCAAAGATAACCCTCCAAAAAGGATAAAGCAGAAACTCTGAGCAAACACATGAGAGGAGTTCTGAGTTTTAAGCCTTATGAAGGGTGTGTTCTGGAGGATTGCGGGGCATCAACACGGACTGGCTTGGGTTTCGGGACAATCTGCCATCTTGGTCGGGGAACTGGATGGGCCCTTTTCAGCCTAGATTGCTGAGCTTTTCCCGAGTGTTTTGTACTCTGTAAGATTTATTATATATATGCCAAGAGGAATTGGCTCTCCTTTAAGTGTATATCGGGCTTACGGAAGATTCCTGTAGAGGATTCAAACCCAACCGGAGCTGGTTAGATCACATGAGGGAGGTGTTAGCACGTGATCTCCTGTAGTCGTTAGCATGAACCAGAGTAGTAAACGTTATGGAAGGGCTCGGTTAATCCGTGCAGGATTATAGTTAAACCAACTATTAATTGTCGCGATTCGATTGGCTTTTGGGTATTACATAACCTTGTTCTATCAGAACTCGCCAAATTCTCTCCAGAAACATATCAAGCCGAAAGACAAGGTACGAATCTTATTTCTAGCCATTGAACAACATGTGGCTCTTGAACTACCTCGTTTAGACAGCTGAATGGACAAAGAGGCGTGTTAACCCTAAGCCCCTGCGAGCACCGGGTCCCAACGGCAGCTGCTGACATCCCAATTGCACAACTGGGAGGGGATTATCACGACAAGAACGAAGGCATCAACAAAAGCCAGACCATACCACGTCCTATGACGAGACATTCCTGACCGCAACTGCGAGGAGGAAGTAACCCATTGGCAAACCATTCCACAATGCCTCCTTATCTTCATCCGAGATCGCGGTCAACAATCTCCCTCTTTACTCTGACCCTCATGTCCTCCTTCGTCATTGTGGGCATACCCCATGTCTTCCCCTGCCCTGCACCACGACACGCCTTCTCGGATTCCGAAATGATCATGTCCCCCGATGGGCAACAGAAGATGATACGGAAACGAAGAAGGAAACCCGTCGATCCTCAACAGTTGACCGAGAGTGAGGGAACTACAACTCTACCACCTCCCACAACCATGGCGGGGAATTCACTGCAAAACTCATTGGATAAAGAGATTGTGAAGTTCCGTCAAATGGAGGAGGAGGCGAAAAATTTGGCGAATGTTAAGAGAGAATGTCCTGTGCCGAAACCGGGGGTTATGGTCGGGCAGCTGTTAGGTTTTAAGAAGCGGGATGACGGGAGGGGGAGGGATGGCATCCCGGGGGCTGATATTCCGGGTCAGGAAGGGGAGTCATGATTTCATCCAGGAGTCGGAGATATTTTGGGTCAGAGTTACACCATCTCGGTCCCATATGCGAATGAATACTTAAAATATGTACAGACATGGTTTGCTTGGACCTCTTTCCTCCGACTTGCATATTGCTTTTATATGCCATGAGTGTTTGTGATCATGGACTTGCATGACGTTTCTTTTGCTGTAAATATACAAATTAACAATTATGGATGAATATTATAGAGCAAGGGTTCAAATATGCTTCTTCTATATACCTTTTCTTGATCCTGATAGCTACGGAAGACCGATTCCTGCTACCCCCGTTAACCCATACAAAATGGAACAGCATGGAAACATTTCTTTGAGTGCACTCATTTGAAACTTCGATCATGCCCTTCAGGTTTATTCTTTTTGTCTCGACTCTTTCACAGTTAATGTTATCGTTCGGTCCTCGCCTCATCCTAACTACATGTTAATTGCCTGGCTGACCACAAACAGTCTTAAAACAAGCTCAAGACACCAAGCTTCCAATTTAAGCATTACATTTCACTCCTTTCGAATTGAACAATAGATCAGGAAGAGGATGCACAAACAGAGCTCCTTCAGGAACACTCTTTACGGCGTAGTTACAACCACAATACTCGCAGAAAAACCAGGCCAATCGCATTTACAAATGAAAAATGAGCTAAAGTTGTTTGAGACATCGATTCTCCGCGCCCATTGGCGAGACTCCTTGCTAACTATTCGCAGCATCGTATTTTGGATTTCGAACCAATGGGGCTGAGCAGGTCAAACGCAATATTTACCTTCCAATAATTTGCAGAGTAAGGACAAACATCCAGGCTTTCGACGTGTAGGACGACTTGGCGATGACGAGGCCTTACAAGGCTCATGGCATGGCGACAATTTCAGCGCTGAATTAGGTAGTTAAGAATGACGAATCTACTGGCCATCCCTGGCACTTGAGATGACAGGGTCCTGATTTCAAATACGAGACGGACTATCGTGGAGAATTTAAAAAAGGTGCGTGAAGAATTTTAGCTCCGTCAGCTCCGGAATTGATATGGCTAATGCCTGAGCTGCGAATAGAGAGAACAACAAACGTCAAGTAAACCATTCGGATTCCATCAAGATTTTGTCGGGTGCAGGGTTAATTTGGTGCCATACGACAAGCCCTGTTCTCCTGTGGATTTGTACTAATATAAATAAGCAAGAGAAATCCTCGACACAGAGAAGTCGAGCAAAATTTTCATGAGTTCCTCAGGGATAATTTTTGCTACTAACTACCAATTGACCTGGCTAGTTGGTCGATCCGTTCATATTTTAAACGAATTGAACTACTTAGGAGGTTCGTGGTTTTGACCTCACCAAGCACTGTTCAACTATTCCATGGTTGAATAGAGCTTCAGTATGTGATTGAAGCCAGTAACTACGGCATGTCTACATGCACAGTTGAAGCCTTTTTTTTATGAATTTCTTTCAGAAAAGACTATAAACCATTACAGCCTTGGAAAAGAGCATCTGACGGAGCCTGGATTTCTACCCTTCCCTCACTCTTCCCCCTCCCCTGAACTAGTTTGCTATTGCTCGAAAATGCATCAAATCTCTCGGAAATCGGTGGCAGCGCCAATTCCTTCAACTGTCCCTTTCGTGGAACAGAAACAAGATCCATCATTGTGTCGGCAATATTCAAGGTTGGCACTGAGAATCTTCTTAGTTGCAGTCTTATTACTGACACGATCGCCCTCCCAGCGAAAACAGCATCCTCCCGCATTCCCCTCCGAAAGTCGAGCTCTTCCCGACTCTAGAAGTCCCGACAGTTGGACCGGAAATATCTTCAGGTTTTCCGTATAACCAACGACTTTTCGAGTTACACATCGCTCCAGATGAATGGACGCGGTTTAGTAATGATGTAGCTCATGCCGCCAGGCTCACAACATTAGAAAAATATGCCGTTTGGTCAGTTGGTCTCAGCATTGGGATAGTCGCCTCTGGCGCCCTGGCTGTACTGGGAGCTGTCCCTGGATACTATGCTGGAAAGGGCATGAAGAACAGCCGTGTGGCGAAGAAGGTGAGACGGAGCCAAAAAGGGAAAGGTGAGCTTGAAACGACATTAAGTACCTGGAATGAAAATGTATTTCGAGACAAGGGTTTCAGGGTATGGCTGCGTTTGCCTAAGCAAGATCAGGAAAAGTTGCAGAACAAAATGGAGGGGGGAACCCCCAAAAGACAGAGTAAAGACGGAGACGACAACGATGACAGGAACGAGACCGCCTCTGCATGCTCCACTCAGCACAGCCTTCAAAGTGGCCATCCGCTTAGTCGTCAACCAGACTCCAAGCCGGGATTCAAAGTCGAGCCAAAGGAATCGGTGGCCGCAAGACGGAGGCGGGAGAAACAGGAGACGAAAAGGTTGGAGAAACATTATACCCTGATGGTGGAGGATATTAGAAAACCAATAGGCCAAGAAGAAATACTCGAGTTTGGTATGATAGAGATCGAAGACACTTGCAGTGCTATTACAGCTTCTTCTGTGGTATCTTCTCCTCAAGATCCTCCGGAGTACGAGTCTATTCAAGACAACTGTAGCTCAATGTCAGAACAGGGAGGGGAATGCCTTCCTTCTGGTGCTGCGCTTCGTTACCGCGGGATCCATGAGCTTGAAGCTTGAGGGGTGATTTCCAAGGTTGTTGGTTCGCTGGGCGATAAATACATGCGACTGGCGATGATTGATATCGTGGCGATTTCAATAATTAGTCGGGGAAACAGGTGATATCTGTTGTGAAACATGGATTTAATTCTTTTTCTTTTTTTTTTTTTTTTTTTTTTTTTTTTTTTTTTTTGCCCTGTTTTGCTTTCTCTTTTTCATTTCTCCCCATCAGAAGTCCTTTGCACATATTTCCAAATAGCAAGAATCCAAAAGACCATATCCCGTCATTGAACTCTTGAGTCTTGATTCCGTATCGAGTATCAATTCTTTTCCCGATAGTTGTATGTGCAACATACTTGGCAAGATACTTAAGCAAAAAAAAACTTTCCATCATGAAAATCCACTGGGTGACATGAGATGAAGAAGATGTTGATTTAAAGGTACGCAGCTCTGAAAACCAGTTACTGACCTATGAGGCTATTATCGTTGTAATAGAGTTTTATCTAGGCAGGTCTATTAATAATCTTGCGATTACCTTGGCTGCAGTGTAACTACAGCTTGAAGAACGTTTAAATGAAAAACAAAAGATTCGGGATACCAAACCATAGTTTGGTTGATTTGATGGTTGGGAGCGGCTGCCCCTGGAACCGTCCAGCTCAGATTCGTCAGGGTTGAGCTTAAATATTTAAATTCGGCCTCTGACTTGGAACACACCGAACAATGATAGCAACCTTCCCAACCATAGCAAGATGAACATCTATGAGCGCGCCATCAACGTCGCTACGAACCCAAAACATTCAAAATGGATTTCGTCATTGCTTCTGATTGCAGACATATTCCTCTGCGCACTCATTGTTTGGAAAGTTCCATGTACGAACCAACCTGAGAACACAACTGTATAATTACACAACTAACCATTGAAACGGAGACAGACACAGAAATCGATTGGACAACATACATGCAGCAAGTGTCCCTTTTCCTGTCTGGTGAGCGCGACTATGCCCTCATTAAAGGCTCTACGGGACCGCTCGTTTACCCCGCTGGGCACGTTTACGTCTACTCCGCCCTCTACTACCTTTGCGACGGCGGTCGGGATATATTCTTTGCCCAGGCCCTCTTTTCGATCTTATACCTGGCAACATTAGTGATTGTGATGTGGAGTTATCGCTTCGTGAAGGCACCGCCGTATCTATTTCCGCTGCTTGTGTTGTCTAAACGACTTCACAGCGTGTTCCTCCTTCGGCTCTTCAATGATGGGGTTGCGACATTTTTTTTGTGGGCTGGCATCTTTGCCTTACAAAGGAGGCGGTGGTCTGCGGGCGTCATATTGTGGTCTATGGGGGTTGGAGTTAAAATGACGTTGTTGCTTGTGGCGCCGGCTGTTGCGGTGATTGCTGTGCTGGGTGTTGGCATCCTTAGGGCTGCTGGCCTGGGGGCGACTGCGTTATGGCTACAGGTGCGTTTCCTCAATCTACAATTGGGAGATAGGAAGGCTATGGCAGATTCAGCGTATATGTGACTTGTGACGTTGGAAGGAGGTACAGTTAAATCCGCATTTTATGGCTGACAATCTACATCTAGGTGCTCTTTGCTCTCCCTTTCCTCAAAGAAAATCCCAGTAGCTATATTTCAAGATCATTTGAATTCACACGTCAATTTTTATTTAGATGGACGGTAAATTGGCGATTCGTGGGAGAAAAAGTCTTCACCTCCAATGCCTTTGCGGTTGCATTGTTGGCTGTACATGCATCGTTACTCGGATTATTTTTAATCTTTTGTTGGATCCGTCCATTGACCACCAGCCCAGAACAGCTTATCAAAAATATCGTCCGTGGGAGACAGCTGCCAATTCAAATCGTCAACTCCTTCATCATGACGACCATGTTGAGCTCCCTTGCAATAGGCCTGCTCTGTGCTCGCAGTTTGCATTATCAATTTTTTGCGTATCTTTCATGGGCGACGCCTTACCTTCTTTGGAAATCCGGATTTCACCCAGTGATTACCTATTTGGTTTGGGCCGCGCAGGAGTGGGCCTGGAACGTCTATCCAAGTACAACTGCAAGCTCGATCACTGTCGTTTCGGGTCTTTCAATCCAGGTTTTTGGGGTATTTTGGAATGGTTACCGAATGCGTTTCTCAAACAAGGAACATAAGGAATAAATGGTGGTTCTAGTTTTTGCTGGAGTTTTTGGGTAGTTTAAGTGGGCTATCTGTTAATTGTCGATTGTGGTTAAGAACACTTTTTAACTGGGGAATTTCTAGCGGAAGAGATTGCGACATAATTTTGATAGGAATCTGTGCACTCGATCTAGTTTTTATAAAAGGGAAATCGGCCCGTGGCTCCAGAGTCGGACCAGTGTTTGCACGGAATGCTGCCGGTCCTGATCAAGATTCATCTTCATCATCAGATGGCGGTAATTTACCCACAGTCGAGTCTTCATCGTCCTCTTCCCCTCCCGTTGAAGATTTTGCAAATTCTTTGGGCCTGTACAAGACGGTCAGCGGCAGCACAACAAGTGGTATATGAACAGGTCAAACAAACCAGTACGGGGCTTTTCGCCATGCCTTTTCATCTCTGACGATATTGATGATTTCTCCGGACAATTTGTTCTCCCTTCCCTCCAGTGCAGCCATGTCTACAAGCACATAAGAGCCCCGTTTGATCCAGATGGTGGAACGGAATTTAGCAGGCAGCTGTACCAGTATGGCTTCCTTCGAGGGCAGCTCTACAGAGTAGATATTGTTTCCTGTGGCCCGGATAACTTTAACAATTTTTTGTTTTTCCGATAACGAATCTGGTGCAGTTAACGTCTCTTCTACTGTTGCCAGCAGTTTTCTCCGTGGCAGGCCCATCGTGAAATGCTTTAGGAGAAAAGGAAATTCTTAGGCCTCAAGAAAATATTGCGTGATATTTGCACCGATCTGGAGGCTTCAGTGGTATGGAGAATAATGGAAGTTTCATAGTTGTCAGGATACATTTAGTTGTGTGGTCACGTGGACTAAATATCGGGACGCCAAGACTTCAGGGTCCAGGCGTCGAAACAGTCCGTCATCAATTCCGCAGATCTGCTGCGATCGAGGAGGTAAACCATTACAGACGGCATTTTTTGTTGAACAACTTTGCACCGCAAGTGTTATATGAAGCCGCTGTATTTGTCCGTTTGCTTTTCCACTACAATTTCCCAGAGTTGGGTGGAAGGAAATTTTCTCTTTCCCACTTAGTATTCTTTTTTGTCTTTTGGGGGACATGTGGCTCTTGCAAACAGGTAGATGAGCGTTGATAAAAATGACTCCGCCAGGGCCCTGCTGATTGCGAATAATGAGGAGCCTAATGATCCATCTGTCCAGAAAAGCGACCTGAGGCTAAATTCACGAGGACAACGAAGGGGGAAAAAAGTTTCTTCTTAGATGACTAACTACGAGTTATAAAAAGGGTTTTATGCAGAGACTCTATTTCTCGGGCGAACCTCAGTTCTCCCGCAGATAGACCGTTTAGATAAAGTTCTGCGGTAACAGCCCCCCGAGGATGGCCCCTTTTTTTAGAAATATTTGAAACATGATTTCAATGTCAAGTACGGAACGTATTATTACTTCTCATTGGTTTTATTTGTTCTTGTTAGACCTGGATATGTCTTTGCCAGAAGTGGATGGGAATTGTTTGAGGGAGCATATATATGACTACCCATGTAGAACTTTTGATAATTAGTGACCTCGAGACGAGGGGGAAATGGCGAGAGATACGCAGTTGTGTTGGCGTAAGAATGGGCTGGATATAACAGTCATTGTATTTTTGCGGCACCTTACGAGTGGCTTGAAAAAATCAGGATGAAATCAACAAAATGGAAGAATGTGCACAATAGTTGTATTTTAATCTCTTTTCAGCGTTGAATATACGTCTGATCTTCAATCGGAATATTTCAAGAGGTATGTGTAGTATGGGGGATTCTTAGTATGTAAACCTGTGCTTTGATCTGGGATGATCATACCAAAAAAAAAAAACCTTTCATTGTACTTAGAGATTATATAAGTTAATGACTGAAAATGTTCACATTATAACCGTGGGAGACATGCGCTGTTAATGATTTTATTGTCTTGTCCATACATATGTGCATAGTGTTGTTGTTTGACTGAAGTTGCCTGCGCAGAAGAACTTTCTCTCCCCCACTGCGGCTCTTTTCCCCTCTCTCATCAGTCACAAGCTAGACACCATCATAATCATACACGCATCCTCCTCTCCTTCACTCCACACTCACCCTCACTTATCCAGGCACACGAGCACGCGTCAAAAATCATCGAGTATTCAACTCCCCCTGTCTATCATATCCTATGCTCAACTGGGACCTGCTACGACTTGGTGCAGTTCGTGGTTGGAACCTTTCATTTTACCCTTCGGACCGGACCCTCGCAGCACTGCTCATTACTGTAAGGATCTGCAGCCCAACGCCATCACCACCGCAGCGTCTTACTCGCTCCCCTGGACCCTTGTAACTTTCGTGATCCATATAGCTTCCTCTCGCTGTTTTCACTCGTTAAAAGCCTATCAAGAAAGTGAATCCTGCCACTCTCTTTGTTTTGGCCCTTCCCCTCATCCCCGCCGAAACCAAGCCCCGAAAAGGAATCCGATACAATTCCTCCAACTTGTCTTCAACCTAAAATCATCCATTGTTCCTACGACCCCCGTATCTTAAGCAAGCAGAAATTAACCCCGTAATCATGGACGGGGACGATGAGCTTATGGCCACGGTCTACCGCAAGATCGAGCGGGAAAAGGCCCTTATCAATGCTGCAACCAATATGCGGCAGTCGACAGATAATCCCGCCGTGCAGCAACGAGTCGATGCAAACATCCGCGACAGCCGTAAGAATATCGTCTATCTAGAGGAGAAGATGCGGGAACTTCAGCTTCGCAAAATGGGTCGTGATGATGGCCAGTCACCTTCCGAACAGCCTGGTTCTCCAACGAGCCCCCGAGGCGGTCCCCGTGGGTACATCGGTGGACCCCCACTTCCACCAAAGGATGATACTGGTCGCTATATTCCAAATGATAGAGTTGACTATGGGAGCGTTGGTCCGGGCGGGTATAACTTGGGCGGAACTGGAGCCATGTCTTCCCGTGTGCCATATGGTGACCCCAGACCTGATGATACTGTGCCAAAAGCACGACCAAATTTTAGCAAATTAGGCAAGTTAATGAACCATCCCATTGGAAACTAGCTACGGATCAAAACTGAATTTATTTGTTCATTTTTCGTCCTGACAGTTATATTTTCTGGGATACAGATTTGATTAAATACGATACCCCATATCTTGGCCCCAAGATCCAACTTATGTTATCGCAATTAGAGTTCAAGCTAAGTGTTGAGAAACAGTACAAAGATGGAATTGAGAAGATGGTACGATTATACCAAGACGAGGGAGATCGAAAGAGCAGGGCGGACGCAGAGGGACGACGGATTGAGAGCATTCAGAAAATCAGGCTTCTGAAGCAGGCCCTGAAACGATACGAGGATCTCCACATTGATATTGCGTCCTCTACTGATCATCCTGACGGTTTGTTTTCTCCAGAATATGTTTTAATTTGCTTTCCTATTTCTATGATTAGCTGACATGATCTACAGATGAGAGTTTGAATTCACCAAATATTAGAAAACCGCTCACTGGTCATTTAACAATGCGCATCCACGCGGTGAAAGATGTCGATCATGCTGCAAGCTCTCGATTTTCACGCGGCCCCGAAACATTCGTTATTATGAAAGTGGAAGATGCCATAAAGGCAAAAACTAGAGCAACCCGCACTGATAGATGGACGGAAGAGACTTTTAGCGTGGATATTGACAAGGCGAACGAGATAGAGCTAACTGTTTATGACAAATCTGGAGATCGACCAACTCCGATTGGAATGCTTTGGATTCGGATATCTGACATCTCGGAAGAGATGCGCCGGAAAAAGATCGAGTCAGAATTTAATGCTTCTGGTTGGGTTTCCGCTGATAAAATGGAACATGGTGGTAGCGGCGCTATCAGACCAGATGGTCACTTCCATAGCACAAATTCACAGACGTTTTCTGTTGGACCAAAAGGAGGAGAACCCAATACTCAGATGAATCCCAATGCAACAGTTATGATTGACTCGTGGTTTGCACTGGAGCCTGTCGGTAGAATACACCTTACAATGAGCTTTGGTAAGTTGCAATAAACGCCCTTTTGAAAAACTTTTGCTAATAAATCTATAGCAAAGCAATTGAAAGATCGACGGCCATTTGATATCGGTCTCAATCGGCAAGGTGCTGTTCGTCAGAAGAAGGAAGAGGTACACGAGAAGCAGGGACATAAGTTCATCACACAGCAGTTCTACAACATTATGCGCTGTGCTCTCTGTGGAGATTTCTTGAAGTATGCCGCCGGTATGCAGTGTTCAGACTGCAAGTACACATGTCACAAGAAATGTTACCCGAAAGTCGTCACCAAATGTATCAGTAAAGCGAATTACGAAACGGATCCAGATGAAGAAAAAATCAACCACCGTATTCCCCACCGCTTCGAGGGTTATTCGAATATCTCTGCCAGCTGGTGTTGCCACTGTGGCTATCTGTTACCATTTGGCCGCAAGAATGCCAAAAAGTGCTCAGGTAAGTCGATTCTGCTTCTTTATTAATGTATAGGTACTGACATTTTCACTAGAATGTAATCTTACATGCCACGCACAGTGTGCGCATCTTGTACCTGACTTCTGCGGCATGTCAATGGAAGTTGCGAACCAAATTTTGGAGACCCTCATTAGGACCAAGAATCATAATAAATCCGCCTCAGCAGGAGGGACCGGAATGAGTTCCCGCTCGTTACGTCCTGGTAGTCGCCCGCAACAAGGAAGTGAAGGTGGCCAGAAGCCACAGGATACTGCATATGGACAACCACCAAAACCGGTTTCTGCGGATGCGGTCAGCGCAGCCCATAGCTCATATTCTCCTCAGACCCCTGTTGGACAGCCCAGACAGGGTCAACCTCACACCTCTACTTCGAACGCGGCAGCAGCAGCAGCCGCTGCTGTAGCAGGAATGCGTCCATCTTCACAACAGGGCTCATCACCTTACGACAGAGCGCCGGATTATACCAGTGGAAGATTAGGGGAGCGTCATGGAATGGATCCTCGTAACGATGTTGATGCTGGCCGACAAACCCACCAGCAGCCGCTGCAACATGCCCATTACGACCCTAGCGCCTATGCAAGTGTAAGCACGTACGGCCAGCAGCCACAACTACCGCCGTTACAGATTTCACAACAATCTACTCCCTATGGCCTAGCTCAACACACACCAATATCTAACCAGAACTCTATGGCAGGGCTTCCAATGAAGGAATCCCACTCAGGACCAGTTGTTACTCAGCAGACACAACCTCAGCAACCGAAGCCGAAGGTTGGCCTGGATCACTTCAACTTCCTTGCTGTTCTTGGAAAGGGAAACTTTGGCAAGGTTATGCTTGCTGAGACGAAGGCTTCCAAGAAGTTGTATGCCATCAAGGTTTTGAAGAAGGAATTTATCATTGAACATGATGAAGTGGAGAGCACTAAGTCAGAAAAACGGGTGTTTTTGATTGCTAACAAAGAACGACATCCTTTCTTGCTCAATCTCCATGCCTGCTTCCAGACAGAGACCCGTGTGTACTTCGTTATGGAGTATATTTCTGGTGGTGATCTCATGCTTCATATCCAACGTGGCCAATTTGGCTTGAAGCGGGCACAGTAAGTTGATCTCACCTTTTCCCATACTAAAGCTTATAGATCAGTGCTGATAAAACATTTATAGGTTCTATGCCGCTGAAGTCTGCTTGGCTCTGAAATATTTCCATGAGAACGGTGTGATCTATCGTGATCTGAAACTAGATAATATTCTCCTGGCGCTTGATGGTCACATCAAGATTGCAGATTACGGCTTGTGTAAAGAGGAAATGTGGTACGGTTGTACTACTAGTACATTCTGTGGTACCCCTGAATTTATGGCTCCAGAAGTACGTCTCGCCATTTTACACTTTCCATGGATAGGAAGGATACGCTAACACAGACTTTACAGATCCTTTTGGATAAAAAATATGGCCGCGCAGTTGACTGGTGGGCATTTGGGGTTCTCATATACCAGATGCTTCTCCAACAATCCCCGTTCCGTGGTGAAGACGAGGACGAAATCTACGATGCTATTTTGGCAGATGAGCCACTATATCCCATTCACATGCCGCGCGACTCAGTGTCAATTTTGCAAAAGCTATTGACTCGGGAACCGGAGATGAGACTTGGATCAGGCCCAACCGACGCTCAGGAGATCATGTCTCATGCTTTCTTCCGGAATGTCAACTGGGATGATATATACCATAAGCGCGTACCGCCGCCATTCTGCCCGACCATCTCTAGTCCTACGGACACGAATAACTTCGACCAAGAATTTACGAGCGTAACACCGGTGTTAACACCTGTGCAATCCGGTAAGTCGACAAGAGTCTCACTCGTCGAACTTTGAAATATGGATATTGAGATAAATATACTAATAATTGTCCCTTTCGTTATATACAGTCCTCTCACAAGCTATGCAGGAGGAATTCCGCGGTTTTTCATATTTCGCTGATTTCGTATAATTGCCAAACCAATGAAATCATTTTTGCCCGTTATGGTGTCTTTTTGAGTGAGTGTGGAGGGTTTTGGAGTTTCCTAGTTTATTTTCTTTTTTCTCTATCTTTTATATTTTCTTACTCTTCCTTTAGTTGAAACGAGTGTGACGGCACCGCTCCCTTCTATCATGTTCCCGGCCAAGATCTAATGCCGTTATTCAGATGATAATGGATGAGCTCTTCTTCTCTTTCTTTCTTGCGCTTTCCTATTCTTTTCTTTTCTTCTTTTTCTTTCCTCTGTTTTCTTTATTTTATTTATTTACTTATTTATTTTTCCATTTCCTTGAACGATAACTATTTTTTCTGAATGAAACAAAAGCATCCATACCTGCATACTCTCAACTGAGTTAGTAACGGTGTATAGGAGCGGAGAGGATGGATGCAGATAATATTTTTGTTGCTTGAAGAGTTATGTTGCTGAATCCTAGGAGGGATCCCCTTTAAAAAAAAAAAAAAAAAAAAAAAAAAAAAGAAAAGAAAAGAAAAAAAAAGAAAGTTAAAAGAGAGAGAGAGAGAGAGAGAGAGCTAGTGGTGGGAACTTGTGTCAGAGAAGTTATGATGATCGTGGGCTCTCTTCTAATGTTGTTTATCTTTGTCTTTTGTTCATTCTTGCTTTAATGTTTCCCCTCTCTATATCAACACGTGAAATTCTTTCCATCTCACCTCTTCTTTGATAATTACACTATTTCCTCTCCCTCATGTCTTTTCTTTCCTTTCATTTTCTCTATTCCCTCTTGTTTACTAAAAGAAAAAGTTGGCTGGGCCTTTTCATGCCAGCGCAATACCAGGGAACTAGGTGCTGGTGCGCCAGTTTCACACATTCAATCATAATTCACCAAACAATGACAATGTGTTATTGCCAAGTGAAGGGTCGGTCAGGGAGATTGAATGGTGGTATCTTGCGGATGGAGAAGGCTGGAAGAAAGAAAGAAACAGAGTGTTCTTTTTATGTGCTATCTTTTCAACTTATGCGGTTGTTATTTTTGCTATGCAGTTGTTGGATATACCCCTCCTTGCTTTCAGTTAATAACTAATATGATTTAGTCTTATTAATAACTCTCCATTTGCTCCAGAAAACGCCCTGAATAACCCCGAGAAGTATCCATGGAGATGTTCTTCAGTTAAATTAATCCCCGACCTGTTTTCTAGACCCGATTAGGTTAGTTGCTGAACTACTGCGGTTTACCTTCCCGCATTCACGTGCCCCGCAGGGGATAACGGCCACCGCAAAGTCCTCTCCACAGCAATTTACTATACAGAGTACCTCAGAGAGGTAGGTATGTAAGCAATGATATAGGTTAATAGTCCACTTCCACTCCATCATCACTCCCCATCTTCACTCTCCCAGCTCAATCCCTTGCAGTTCCTTTATCAACAACGCAACGGAGCAAACAACCAGTCCCCTCTCACAATGAACGTGTCCCTCGACCTTCCAGCTCTTGCCCGATACTCTCTTTTGGACAAAGCACTTCTTCAACCTAAGTTCTCTCCTTTGTGAACTAGTTCTATGGGCTTCGAACTGTTCCTTTATTCTACTGCGATATCCAACTAGTTCTTCCATTGTTTCTCTTTATTTCTTTAGTTTTCTTCCGAATACCTTAACTACCGTTTGCGAACTCCAATCGCGTGGGGAAGATGGAGTACCTCAAGACTCTGTGCAAGACGGTGTCTTCGTTCTGGACCCCTCGAAGATCCGCTCCCGAAGGACAACAGACAAATCTTCCAGCTTCAACTACTGCTACTGCTACCACCACCACCACTCCTGATATAACTACTCCCACTCCTGCAACTAGTGCATCACAGGTATATACACCATCTATCGAAGGGGTGTTGGGACATCGATCTATGAGCCCCACATCCAAAACGCAGGATTGGCTTTCTAGCCAACAATTAGGCCAGTTTGTTGAAGGAGATTTCGAGAGGGTTAGATATGTTAAAGGAATGAGGAGGAAACGTATTTTGACTTCTTCAAGGAACCCAAGAACTATGGTTACCACCACTGAAAAATATAGACGCTTAATGCAGCTTCAAACCCTTGCTAGTGGGTCAGGGTTGAGGAGAAAATTGAGCTTCGATAGTCATTATCCGCGGGCGGAAACTCAAGTTACCGATGATGGCGGTGATAACCTTGATGGTGATACCATTGTAGTGGATGAAGATACTCCGGCTAAGCGACAGAGGCTTATGGATAACATAGCGTTTTGGGGTACGCCAACGTCTGCCATTCAGGTAAATAAGGAGAAGACTGTGGTTGAGGCTGATACGCTTGTTAAACAAGAAGAGGAATTAGGATTGGATGCGGATGTAGAAACTGAAGTCGAAGATTCGAGAAAAACCGATGCAGCTCCCGATCTCAATGAAAATCTGGAGACGGATGCGCACATGGGTTCAGACGCATCAGAGTCTGATGATGATATGGGTTTTGTCTCTCCCCATCGAGTTAAGGCAGGCCGTGGTTCGAAGACCTCTTCTGCCGCAGACGATGTTTACCGTCCCTCGCCAGAAATCGTTGACAAGAATCTGGCCAAGGACACCGTCCGCGCTGACCACGAAAGCGACCTCAGTGAAGAGGAAATTATGGGGAAGCAGTACGCCGTTAAGAAAAATGACCGTAAGGAGGTGACTTTTGATTTCGACATGGAGAAGGCGAGACGCTGGGCGGATGCTGTCAAGCTCCCTAATGGTCACTGGGGTGAAGCTGAGCAGGACCTTTACTTTCGTCTTGCAATGCGGGGATTCGAGCCGCTCGTGCCTAGCAGCTGGCAGCTGGATTTCAGCACCCTTCCTGAGTCTCTGTTTTCTTACCCTGGGGACAATGCACCCTTTATCCAATCAGATAAGGAGCTGGAATTCCGTGGTATGTATATCAATTTCATTTTTCATGCTTTGGCCCATGTCCTTTTGTCCAATTACTAGATGTTAACTGTGTACCAGCCATCAAAGCTCTCAGCGACCTTTTTAATCTTGGAAATCAAGTGAGGGATCGCCAATTTGTCCTCCTTGATCCGGAGCCAGTGATGCGTCGTAGCATTGATAAGTATATCAAATGGGCCTTGCAGGATTCCAATTTCTCCAATCACCCCAACGCGATACCTGTTCATGCCGTGCATACTTGTAAACCATCCGAGACCACTCGCTCTGCCGTACAGGCCCTGAATAGCCGTCTCGTTGCGTTAGCGAATCGTTACCGTGAAGCCTGGAAATCAACAATCAACACCGAAACCAGTTTCAACAAGAACAATAACGACAGCGAGGACGATGCATGCACCTATCAAGGTGGTACTCACTTGTTTCCCGTTATCACTGGATTTCTGATCTGCGGGCCCATCGTTGCCGTTCTTACCTTGGACTCAAACCCCGAAGCGCATCCGGCTCTGGATTCGAACACCACTGCGAAATTCATCTCTCAGTTTGATTTTGGTGAGTCGGGCCAGGATGTATGGAATGCATTAGCTGTCGCTATTGCAGTTGTCCGTATGCGGAAGACGATGGCTCAGTTGGAGACGGACTGGAAGGAGAAGTCGATGTGGATGGTTGGCGACCTTGCTGAGGATACGGATCCAGATTTCTAGAAGTTCGTTAGGTATGGGGCATTCGGTTCCGGCAATGGCTGGGCGATGGGCAGTGTCTCACTGGGTGGTCACTGCGGCAGCACCTGATGATGTCCTAGGTATTTGAAATTCATCGTTCCGCTGATGGTGATTGAGAGAATTTTCCAGACTTCGACGCTCTGCTTTCGGCCGTCTTTTCTATTTTCACCTTTTCCTTTTGTCTTACGGATGGTTTGTTATGTATGTACTTTGAACGGAAAATACGGATGTGTAACGGAACCAAGCGATACCCTGAATCCCTACTGTTTGCACCCCTGCTCTGAACGTGTGTTAGTCTGCAATAACTAAATAGTTGCTTGTTTCTAGTTGTGACCTTCGTTGTTGCCTGTGTGATTACGGTGAAGTTCGCAACTGGTAATTTATGATAAATAAAAACTTTTGATTTTCATATTTATTATTCCCCCGTTTCATACTCGAGTACCTGTTTAAAAAGGGGTCTTGATACCCCACGATTCTCTGGAGACCTTAATGATCACGTGATCAAACAACGACATCCCGCTCCAAGCTTGAGAAAACAGACAAATGTGTTTACCCCTTTGAAGACCTTCATATAGAGGAAGAGACCAGTGTAGTTGAGATGAAGAGATGGACGCCCCCGTTGACAGAGACATCAAACTTCAACGCGCTTCTGGCGATCTGTTGCAAGATTTCAAATCCAAACTCATCCCACTGCTCTGGAAATTAGATACCAACAATAATGAGCGTCGAGTCCATCGATTGGCACAAGTTGCCAAAACAGAGAGACTGATCAATCTTGTATGTTGAAACCCCGTCTCACGAGAAGAGAGGTGTGATCTTATCTTATCCCTTATATGTATATGGAGATAATCTGTGCATTCTAACCTTCATTTTGCTGCCTTGTTCTTCTTGTCGATCCGTAAAGCTGGAACCATTTCAGGAATGGCCACAACTTCTAGATCCACATTTGCAGGAAATACTACCAAAACTGGTTGATACGTTTTTAGCATATCTGAAAGAACATCGAGAACAATACATGCTCGCTTCGTTGTCAAGTTCGTCGGTGAAACAAGGCTCAAAAAAAGTTGGCGCCGTGTATCCCCTTCCTCGAGCAATCTGCAAGTTTCTGTATACCCTATGCAAAATCCGTGGTGTCAAAGTTATAAGTCAGTTTCTGAACAACGAGCCAAAGTACCTGGAAGTTATGCTGAAGGAATTTATTGACTGGGACAGCGGTGCATCGTCGGGAGAAGAAATCTCCACTGGAGAGGCCAGTATAAAGGATCAGCCCAAGTCGCTAATCTGGGAGGAGAGATATGTAATGCTTCTCTGGATATCACATCTGCTTCTTGCACCTTTCGATCTGGCTTCAATTTCTTCGGATTCATTACCTGTACCATACGATAATCTCTCAGCGGTACCAGACCTGTCCCCAGATATTTCACATGTGTCTCTGTCGATTCTTTCGATTTGTCTTAAGTATGTTGTGCTTCCGAGCAAGGAGAGAGAGGCTGCAACTGTATTGCTGGCAAGACTTGCTTTACGAATAGACATGCAGCGGCTTGGGCTCTTAAACTCCCTAATACGATGGGCGTTGGGTATTCTGCGCCCGACGCCGGAAGGCAACGCGCCACCAGTATACACCTGCATCGGGGTACTTTCATTCATTTTTCGGCTTGGGGTGTCTGCACAAGTGGCAGATTTTTCTCCTTTCATCGTTCCAATATTCAATGCGATACTGCAAATATCGGAGGGAGAGTCATCCGTTGCTCAGACTATCAGGTCATCCGCGTCCGCAAGAAAGGCTATAATAAAGATTCTTCGGACTCTTGCGACTATTGTTCTCACGTTGGAAGACGGAGATGGACCGGTTCAAATTTCAGAAAATACATCATCAATGATTCTAGAGAGTGCTATTGATCATTTCCTCGTATCGCTCGCTGATAGGGATACCCCTGTGCGCTTTGCCGCAAGCAAGGCTCTCAGTATGATTACCGTCAGACTCGACTCGAATTTAGCCTCTGACGTTATCGACGCGGTCCTGGGTTCTCTGAATGAAAATATCTTGTATGAAAAGCAGGATGGCACGTTGATAACACCATTAGAATCTCGCGATATTGAAATCAAGTTGCGGAAGCGCAACACAAGTGCCGTGGACCCACAACGATGGCAGGGACTTATGCTTACTCTCGCACACCTACTATTCTGGCGTTCTCCGCCAACTGTCCAACTTCCACAAGTACTTCAGTCCCTGGTATCGGGGTTAGACTTTGAGCAGCGTTCATCGACCGGAAGTTCTGTCGGAACCAGTGTTAGAGACGCCGCATGTTTTGGAATTTGGGCTTTATCTCGGAAATACACTACAAGCGAACTCCAGGACCTGGATGCTCAGGAATTGAAAGTGACAACGAATCAAGAGGGCGGGAGTGTATTACAAGCACTCGCGATAGAACTCGTTTGCGCTGCTTGTTTGGACCCGTCGGGTAATATTCGACGGGGCGCTTCGGCAGCATTGCAAGAGCTAATTGGCCGGCACCCCGATACGGTTGTCGAAGCCATTCCCCTGGTCCAAGTTGTCGATTATCATGCAGTGGCCCGAAGGTCAAGGGCGATGATTGAGGTCGCGAAGGGTGCTTCTGATGTTGGAACTGTTTACTGGAGTCCCCTCGTAGATGGCCTTCTACAGTGGAGGGGCGTTGGATCTCCTGATGCAGAATCGCGAAGAATAGCTTCCCAGGCCCTAGGAGGTTTGAGTCTTCAGGAATCCTATAAGAGCATGAGTGTTGTGTTTGAGCGGCTTTCCCAGAAGCTATCTACAACGCCAGTAAATGCTGTTGAAGCCAGGCATGGTATATTCTTATCGCTTTCTGCTACTATTGATGCATTCATCAGACATAGAAGGGGTAGAGATGGCGTATACTGCACTTCCGCATACGCCAATAAAGTCATGGCTGAAATTGGAAGTCTGTGGAGTAGTGCCTTTGACTCATATATGGCTCCTAATGAGGAAGTTCTTACGAATGCCTCCCTACGTCCGGATCTTACAGCTGAGGCTGTGGCGCGCCTCATTTCCTCTCTTGCTCGTGCTTGCTCACCTGATAAGCAGCGTGGTGATATACATCCATTACTCTCGCCGCCACCTCTAAAGTTGCTTGATGAAGTTACTGAAATCCTGCTGTTATGCGTGTGCCGATCGGACGACATTCCTATTGAAGCATCATCAGAAGCGGCATCAGATTTGTTCGTGCTACTTCCCGACTCCAAAAAGTTGGAAATTGTTCAAAAGTGGTTCAATGATATCCATGCGAACTGGAAGAAGGTGACGGGCCGTGGACAAATTGCCGCTTTAGGTGCGGTTTTTAAGAGGATGCCGAAATCTGGAGAGGGGAGAGGATTTATCATTAAGGAACTCATCGAGTGTACGGGGGTGGAAGAGGAAATTGCTAAACGGTCAGCCGCAGTGAAATGTCTTGCTAGTGGTGTTCTGCCCGAAATTGGTACTATAAGGATTTTTTCTCCTTCCTCTTTTATTTCTTCCTTTCTCACTTAAAGAGTCATAGCTAATATTCAAAGATGCAACAGATGAGGTGGAGTCCCTTGCTAGACACCTTACAAAGTTTCTAAACGACTACACAACGGACAGGCGAGGAGACATTGGATCCTTTATCAGACTCGAAGCGATCCACGCTGTTAATGTGATTCTTGAATCGAAGGTGACTCTTGGTTCCTCACCACCTTACAGCAAAGACCTGATGGCCTGCATTGTACGACTTGCAACCGAAAAACTCGACAGAGTTCGCTTTCAGGCATGGAAATGTCTACAAACCTTCTGGGAGACATCCACGGATTTACCTCCCTTAAGCCGGTAAGTCCTCTTACAGTAGTTAAAAAGAAATGACAACTAACGATGTTTCCAGAAAATATGAGCATTTTAGCGAAGTCTCCGGTGCAGACTATTTCCTACAGCTTTTCGACCTGCTGCAAGTTGATTGGCTTCATTACCCACTCGCTAGAGGCATGATAGCTTCCGCTTGCACTGGAACTGAGGAGCTGGTTCGATCCATTCATTTCGCACTTTTACAATATGTTAATAATAAGAGTGAAGAGCAGAGAAAACTGATATGCGCGAAGCTTATCGGAGATTGGATATCGATAGTGGAGAGTGATAACACTGACGATCGTTATGCCATTCCAGCTGTGGAAATGATTGCGTTTTTGCTTGACAATTGCTTCTCCCATAGCTCCTCTGATCCAAACATCGAGTAAGTCTTTCCTTGTAAACTAAGCAATGATGATGATGCTGGTTTAGTTAACCCATTTTGTCCCTGTTTCCTTTTAGCTACCGCAAAATCTTCGTCTGTGTTCAAAAGTTCCATTTTAAATCAGCGAATGTGTCCCGTATCGAGGCTGCGATAAAAATATATGCTCTCCTTTGGAGAATGGGTGTTATTCGAAACGATTCTATGAAAAAGTTAACGGGTATGCTATTGCATCCGTATCCTATGGTAATTTAATGTTCCTTCCGTGCATTTTTCGTCTTAGCCATGCAGGAATGGTTTCCCTTTCCGCTTCCGAACTCCAGTTTCTTGCTTTCCACTCCTCCTTTGCTAATGACAAATAGATACGCACAATTGCCGCAGACTGTTTGTATCTGGAAACTCGTGTCGAGGAAATGAAGGGCGAGGATTGGTCAAGTCCTCCCAAGGAATTGAAGGGAAAAGTTGATGATTTGCGAGTGGCTCTTGGTGTAATTTGAATGGCTTAGACATGGACGGATGCATATATGCAGTTGGATATAGATATAGGAATGACAGTCATTTACACACGAAAGAGCATAATATTTCTTTCATATATTTTCGCATCAAGTTACCCCAACGAAGAACTGAGCTTCCGCACAGCTCTAGGATAACTCGTCAGTTATCTCATGGCAAAGAATCTGGGGATCTCTAAAAATATACAAGAAATCGACACATATGACTGTCATGAAAAGATTATCCTTTCGAGGTCATTCAATTCGGAAGACACACTTGGAATCCGTCGCGGTGTAGAAGCATCCGACATAAATACCTGAGGAAAAGAAAAAATTTTAAAGATCACTCCAACCATCTAAAATGAACTGCAGTTATCCAGGGATTTTATAATATGCAAAAATTTATCAAGTTCTAAAAGAGATCGAGAAGTTGTTGATGCATCATCCGTGAATCGAACACGGGCCTCATCGAATTTCCAGATGGGTGGCAACGATGAATTCTACCACTAGACCAATGATGCTAACTTGGAAGTTGAAATTTCGCAGTGAATTTAAAAGTTGCAAAAGGCGGACCAAAAATTATTTGCCGAGAGTTTCAAAATCCACTTAAACAACTCAGCATCAATAAATGATTGCAGCGATCCTAAGTCTAATCAGAGCCAAATTGCAGCTTGTGGCGCGATAATTTTTCACAATGGCAGCAGCTGCTGCTTCGGCATCCGGAATACCCCCAAATTCAACGTGAGAGGCCCTGCGACCACAGTTTTTAACGAAACGATTCATTATACTAACAAGATTTCCTCCGCAGGGTCTATGTACGTTCCATCTTCATCCAACAACTCGATGAAAGCAGTAGATCTAAAGCTTGAAATCATCCATGCATCTCAAGAGAAACCCAGAAAACTTACGAATGAATCCATCTCTGCAGGTCCAGAACCTTGAAGAAAGAATCAAAGTTGAGGCGCTCAAAGAAGCCCTGACCGAAATCTTCTCCGAATATGGCAACATTATCGATCTCGTCGCAAAAACAAACCTAAAGGCCAAGGGTCAGGCCTTTATTGTCTTTGATAATGTGGATTCCGCCACGCGTGCGATTGAGGAAATCAATGGCTTTGAGCTGTTTGAGAAGCCTATGGTGCTGGACTATGCGAAGACGAGAAGCGATGCGACGGTGCTGAAGGAGCAGGGGGAGGGTGAATTAGAGGCCCATAAACGCAGGAGACTAGCGGAGAAGGGTTATTTTTATCTATCTCTTATCGCGTTCGTGTGCGTTTGTTCGTTGCTAACCGCACCATCTACGTCACAGAAAGGAAACAAGCACAGGAGGCCCTGGAGGCGCAGAAGAAACTGAAACGAGGAGTCGTTGCACCTGGAGGGGCGGAAGCTCGTCCTTCAAAGGCTGCCAAAGGCGCAGGCTTGAAACCTTCCAACGCCGCTGCTGCCCCAGTTATACCGGATGAATACCTACCGCCGAACAAGATTCTTTTCTTGCGGGAGATCCCCGATTCACTTGACCAGGACGGTCTTACTGCGGTCTTTGGGCGGTTTGAGGGATTCAAGGAAGTCCGTATGGTGCCCGGCCGGAAAGGGATTGCGTTCGTTGAATATGAGGCGGAAACGGGTGCAATCAGTGCCAAGGAAGCAACATCTGGTATGCCTCTGGGAGAGAATGGGAAGCCTATTAGAGTGACATACCAGAGACAGTGAGAACTTTATTATCTTTCTCGTTTATTTCTTTTATGTTTGTTTGTGGCAGGGAAAATTCAGTATGCCATTTATGATTATTATGCTTTAGGCGTTTGGTTTTGAAATGCACCCGTTGAGCTTTTATTCGTTTCTCGCTTTATCAAGGCATAAGGCATCACGGCATAACTAGCTATATTATCGTGAAGAAAACGATACTACATAGTATTTCTACAATATTGGTGTGAAATTGTACAACTTGATGGACCTAAAAAATTACGTCCGGATCCTCTTGGTCTCCAAGAACATCGGGGGTAGGGGTATCTGCTGACTCAGGCGTTGTCTTTCCATCCATTCCTGCGGCTGCTCGTTTTGCCCTCATTTCGGCATCGGCTGCTGCTGTGTCTCTTTGTTTTTTGTTCGAAACCTATTATTATATTTATCAACTATTAACTGATCCAGTCCGACACAAAGTAGATCAAAATGTATTTACCTTCTTAAGCCGGTAAAATTCCTCTCGGTCGAGCTCATCTAGTTCTGAGTTGATGTCTAATGGTTGGTCAGCTCCTGTACGCAGTTATGCATATCATGTAGCGTCACCTACATTTGATAGTATTTTCGGTTCGGGGGATAATAACATGTTCACTAGAGGAGTAAAATGGATAATCAGCCGCTCGGCTGCAAATAATAAATCGCATCAAGTAAACAAGTTGAGGGGACGCCAGAAAACACGGAGGAAATTCCGGACGTTGCTTGAGGATATTGCAAAGAATGCCCAAACGCTAATATGAGGGGGTTTCATACATCGCGTTGACTAGATCAGCAAGGATTAGCAACTTAACCGCCCGACAACGTAAATAGGGCAACATACCTCGTCTGTTCACTACTTTGATGACTTCATCCAATATAACAAATGCAGTCTAAAAATAAAATATCACGGTGAGTTGCTGACTATACAGAGAAATGGAGGTTACGATACCGTACCTGTAAACTGGCTAGTTCGACAAGCGTTTCGACAGCCCTGGCGTAAGTCTCCCGACAACGCTGGACTTGCTGCCCACCTTTCCCAAGACCAGTCAGGCCAAAATCATTACTGCCCTCCGCGGTCACGCTCTCGAACTGAGGTAGAAATACTCCAGATACATTCTCTTGCTTTGTCTGGACGCGGAACCTAGCCTGTTTCGCAGATTCCTGGACCTGGAACCCGATATCCCCTCCAACAGCATAGGTAACCTCTGCCAGGGAGAAGGCAGCTATCTGCATAACACGACCCATTTTCCGTTTTGCTTCATCGATCCGTTTGGTAATTTCTAGCAGGCAGGTTAGAGCAGAATTAGAGCAAGGCAAACGTAGCAAATTCATACCTCGGAATCGCCTATTGGAGTGGAAAATGATATTAGCATACTAGTAATATCCGATAGATTAATGACAGTCCTACTTAGTCAAAGCTTCGCTTTTTCTCTTCAGAAGGCTGTGGCCTGTTTCTGCACCCTTCAACTTCCCCTTCATCAACCCCAGTGATTGCCGGGTTGGAAACACGGCTTCTCGGTCCTGGAACATTAAAGAAATGATTAGCATAAACTCGACAGAAAACGCTGAGACATACGCACCCCTGTTCCAGACATGATGGATATAGCTCATAGGACGGGGCCCTTGAATGACGCCGCACAACTTGCATTAAGCTGTTTCGACGTGTTATATGCTCGTGGTTGGGACTTCGTCTCTGCTTGGTCTGAAGTTCGTCATTTTGTCACCCACCATTTAGCGCCCAGGACGCTTGGCCCCATCCAACGCTAATAATTCCAGCTGCTAAAGTCTGCTATGCCATTTACAGTATAGCGCCATCATGTGACCCGACACGACCTTTGAAGGGCTCCTCGACGCATAATCAAGAACATCCCGAACGTCGACACTCCCTAGAAGAAAAGAACCAACACGCCAGGAATGACTCTGCAAGGTTCTCGCAGTCCGTGTTTTGTATATCAGCCCAGTGGTGACCTGAGCAAGGTCCCACTCCCGTGAGTGGTGAGATGCCCGGGACTCTCCTGGATAGAAGATCCCCGGAAGGGCAGCAGCTGAAGATGGATAAGCCCGTGCTCGCTCCCGCTCAGCCGGATTTCTACCTGATTGTAAATCATCTATTCCGTTTGTTTCCTTCATTTTGGTCTAAATTTTTATGGGCATTTACTGACTTCTTTCCGAAGGGGAGTGAGGATGCTGTCTACGAACAAGATATCCTTCGCGATCCCCACAGCATAAAACCATGGCTCTCTTACATTGAATTCAAGCAGCAACATGGCAATCCCTATGAACAAGCCTTTGTAAGTAGATGCTTCTACTTCTCCAAATCTTCCTCTGGAATGATGCGCACAGCTAACGGATTGACTAAGGTCATGGAACGTGCATGCAAGCAACTTCCCAGGTCATATAAGCTGTGGAAGATGGTAAGTTCCGAAATTCACCCTCATTACAATGCAGCTTCCATTCACTGATACCCCACGCCTCTTTTCTTCCTTTTTTTTTTTTCTCTTAGTATCTTGAGTTTCGCATAAAACACGTGAGAGGCCGAAATCCATCGATCCATCGCGCAGAATACCTCAAAGTCAACGCCCTTTTCGAACGGGCTGTCATCTTGCTCAACAAGATGCCTCGAATTTGGGAGATGTTCGTCTCATTTCTGCTACAGCAGCCGATCATAACTCAAACCCGTCGCACTTTCGATCGGGCTCTCCGCGCTCTACCAGTTACTCAGCATAATCGTATTTGGAAACTCTACAAGGCCTTCGCCTACTCTGCATCTGGAGAGACAGCAGTGAAAATTTGGCGTAGATACATGCAAGTCCACCCGGAGAATGCCGAAGAATATATTGACGTTTTGGTCGAGATGGGGCAATACACTGAAGCTGTCAAGAAGTACATGTGGATTCTGGATAATCCTAGATTCCAATCGAAAAACGGCAAAAGCCAGTTCCAGCTTTGGACTGACATGGTTGAACTGCTTGTCAACAAAGCCAAGGATATTGAGGCTGGCCCAGAAGTGGGCATCGATGTCGACTTGATTATTCGCAGTGGGATCGATAGGTTCGCCGACCAAAGAGGCAAGCTGTGGGCTGGGTTGGCAACGTACTGGATTACCCGTGGAAATTTCGAAAAAGCAAGAGATATCTTCGAGGAAGGGATCACAACTGTGATGACTGTTCGAGATTTCACCATGATATTTGATGCCTACGTGGAATTTGAGGAATCTATCATAGGCCATCTAATGGAAGAAGCTGCCTTGCGATCCGACAAGGGTCGGGCTGACGAGGCCGCGGATTTCGACCTAGACCTTCGAATGCTGAGATTTGAACAACTCATGGATCGCCGCCCGTTCCTAGTTAACGACGTCCTCCTCAGACAGAATCCTAATAACGTAATCGAGTGGGGCAAACGTGTTGCCCTGTGGGGTGACAATAAAGCCGAAATTGTTCAAACTTATACCAAGGCCATTGCAAAGATTCAACCGAAAAAAGCCCATGGTAAGTTTCATGAACTCTGGGTCAACTACGCCAAATTTTATGAGCAGGGTGGAGATTTGGATACTGCTCGGGTGATCTTCGACAAGGCTGTCAAGGTTCCCTTTAAAACAGTCGCGGAACTGGCAGAAACCTGGTGTGAATGGGCCGAGATGGAGCTTCGCAGCGAAAATTTTGATAGAGCTGTTGAAATCATGGCAAAAGCTACACAAGCTCCCAAGCGCTCCACAGTCGACTATTTCGACGAAACCCTTTCACCACAACAACGCATCCACAAGAGCTGGAAGCTATGGAGCTTTTATGTTGATCTCGTCGAAAGCGTTGGGACTCTCGAAAAGACAAGAGCGGTTTACGAACGCATTTTTGAACTACGAATCGCAACACCCCAAACAGTCGTCAACTATGCCAACCTTTTGGAGGAAAACAAATACTATGAAGAGTCTTTCAAGATTTACGAACGTGGCCTTGACCTTTTTAGTTACCCGGTGGCCTTTGAGCTCTGGAATCTATATTTGACTAAGGCTGTTGATCGGAAAATCTCAATTGAACGCCTACGGGACCTGTTCGAACAGGCTGTGGATGGGTGCCCACCCCAGTTTGCCAAACCTCTCTACTTGATGTATGGCAACTTGGAAGAAGAACGCGGGCTTGCTCGACACGCTATGAGAATATATGAACGCGCAACACGTGCTGTCTCTGACTCCGATAGATTTGAAATGTTCAACTTTTATATCACAAAATCGGCCTCCAACTTCGGCTTGACATCGACTCGTCCGATTTACGAACGCGCCATCGCAGCTTTGCCCAACAATGAAGCAAAGGACATGTGTCTCAAATTTGCCGAAATGGAGCGTCGTCTGGGTGAGATCGACAGAGCTCGCGCTATCTACGGTCATGCGTCTCAATTCTGTGACCCGCGCACAAATGCAGGATTCTGGCAGAAGTGGGAGGGGTTCGAGGTTCAGCACGGTAATGAAGATACGTTTAAGGAAATGCTACGTATCAAGCGCAGTGTCCAGGCTCAGTACAAGTATATTCCCCTGTTTATCTTTCTTATCCTTCTGCCTTCTCTTCTCTGGATGAAATTAATTCGACCAATTTTAGTACCGACGTAAACTTCATTGCTTCTCAGGCCCTTGCTAGGAGCAAGCAGCTTGCCAAAGAAGCTGCAGGCACTCAAGAGGAGAGCCAGGAGCGTGCCGATGCGATGGCGGCTTTGGAAAGACAGGCCCGCGCCCCCATGGGTTTCGTACCCGCAAGCACAGGACCAGAAGGAGGAAACCGACCACCAGCTGTTAATGGTGATAAGTCACAACAGAGTGCTCCGGCAAATCCTGATGCCATTGATCTCGACGAAGATATGGATAGAGATGACTGAGTGCTAGAAACACTCTCCACTCACCAATAGATACCCTTCGCTATGTAAAATTGCGGATTACATTAACACCACACATTTTTCACCCTACCACACGCGGTTTTTTTTTTTTTTTTTTTTCATTATCTTATGGAATTTTCTTATATGTTATTGGTGCATTCAGGAAGGGGTTGTCAGCTCAGGCCATTATTTCCTACTACTTTACTTGTACAACGGCGATTCTCCCCTTTTATCTCCACCTTCATTCATTAATTAGTCTTCTTTTTTTGTGGCGCTCTTCGATTTCATTCTCTGCCCAACTAGGTTTCCTTTTATCTTAACCCGAGCGAAACCCTTCCGCTCGCCGCTCCTTTAAATTTTCAGAATCATCTGGATGATTCAATCATATGAAGAAAGTCAGTATGAGGGGGGAGGAAGAGGAGGGGGGGGAGGAAAGAAAAAAAAAAAAAATTCTTTCCACTGGAGTTAGTCTGTGTTCATGGGCCAAATAGACTAACCGATGTGGGAACCCCGCTATCCCTTTTGATTGAACATACTATTGAATTTTCTTTCTCGATGTTTCATTTTATTTTCTTTAAAGTCGTGTTTTGCGAAGATCTATCTCCGTCAGACAGTGTATTACAGCCTCTCGAGCTTTGCAACTCATTCATTTCCATCCATGCTTCTTCTTCCCTATCAAACCATCTGTCGACTTCCCCTTCCACGACGTTTGTGTACAATATGCTCCTGTATTCTAATTAATAAATTTCGATAAAATTACGTTGGCACCCGGTTTTGGGACATGCTGCATGCGATACAGTGACCCACGAAATCTCCTTTACATGGTCCCGTACGGTCATGAAATCTTCGAATTATAGTCCGGCAGACAGCTCAAACGAGCTGCTGATGGGAGTTGATGTTTTCACTTGTCACCAGACGTGTATAATCCATGCGGGATTTTTCTGTTTTGTCTGGAGGCTGAGTTGCAATCTGAAGTTTTTCGGTTTAGGGCCAACGCACCATCCCACAGGTAGTGAGCTGGTGACCAACCTCCCCGAAACCTCCACTTAACTTGGTGACATATTTCATTCTTCTGTTCTGTTTGCTTAATGTTGCTTCCGAATTCCTATATGAAAATGCCTCATGCAGGTGAGGGGAAGAGAGCACGCGACGCCATCCGAATTTCCGAGCTCGATTAAAACGAAGCTACAATTAGCTTAACTAACTACCCTATAGTGACGGTGATGGCATTTAAGCAGCTGTGCACTGCCTCAAATACCCATGCTTTTGACATTTCAGTGGCTACCCCTCCTCTCATGTCTTCCGCCGTCTAGGAAACGTGGTTCATGCCATTGGCAAAGCAGGAGGAGTGGGTTTGGGTTCTAACGACATCAAGATACATATCCAGCCATCCATACACAAAACGCCGGTGTCTTCTTCAGTTGGCCTCTGTAAAGGGAATATTAGAAAACTGACGAAGGTGATTATCGACAAGTGTAGAGTTATATGTACGATTCTAGTGGAAAAAGACCTTTTAAAATCATGACCAGCTTATGGTCTGAGTAGACAAGGGCAGAGGTTAGCAAGCGGGGATAATCTGGAGCTCCTTAATACCCCTTACTTTTCTCTACTCCATCATTCTAGTTCTGATACATGGAGTGGATTTTAACATTAACAACACTTGTCAGGGGTTTCTAAATGCCATCCATAAATCTTGGATTTGAAACCCCCAATTAGATCCTTTCTCATTTTATTTGGTCGACTCTACCAAGACATGGTAATTAAAATTGAAGGGGGCAGGGAAGTGGAGACTTGATATCCAAGCACTTTCCAGCGGATTTGTCCCCTTGTAGTAGCATACAACACCTGGGGTCAAAAGGCCAACACAAAGGTGGAGATTCCCAAGGCCCCCTCCAAAAGTAACATTGTCACATTCTTTACATATAATAATATATGCTCTCGAGTATTTAAGGGAAAGTAATAGAGGCCAAATTGCAGAAAGGAGGAGATAAAAATTGTAAAAGCAAGCAATAATAACAGTTTAATTTAAAAGGGGCGAGGTTCAAATTCGTCTAAAAAAAAAAAAAGGAAAAAAAAGGAAAAAAAAAGGAAAAAAAAAGGAAAAAAATAAAATAAAATAAAAGGCAAAGAACCCAAGAGGAAACTATATAACAATGCATATGCGTTACAACATGAGGATTGAATATATGCAATCCTCTTTCGCAGAGCCATGCTGGATGTTTGTAGCTGTCATTCCATCATAACAAGTGTGAAGGTACGTACAATCGAGGTCCTGGTATGAAATTTCGGTTGTTCTCGCTGGCTCGACCGTTTGCCTGCTGCTTGCCTGCTGCTTACCTGCCTGCTGCTTTTCCCCTTGTTTGTTCAAATTTGGGTCTGTTAGATGTGCGTGAAATGGCGACTGTCAAATATTTTCTTTTCTTTTTCGTTTTCAAATTTTTTCTTAAATCTTCTTTTTTAACTATAGTTTGCATTGGACTCTCAAAAGCCAAGGCAGCGACGTCAAAACAAAGGTCATGATTGCGTGTCGGTGACATCACTGGCGGTCCGTAAACCGGGCGTGTTCTTACAACCAGCCCTGCAAAGAGACAAGATATTAAACACCGTCAGTACAAGGACGAGCCCTCAACTTTCAAATGAGTTTCATTAAAGAAACATGATGGCATAGCAGCCAAAGACAAAAAAAAAAAAAAAAATATCAACTAACCTTTTCCTTTAGTTTGGCGTGGAACGCGGAATCGCGGTCCTTGCGACTCAAATGGCTATCTCTTGAGCTCGACGTGGAAAAGATACTCCCTTCCCTTCGTTGGAATCTTGACGGCGGGACTTTCGAGGCGTCTGTGCTCATAAAAAGCCCGGAATAAGCGTCCGGTCGGTCAGCCCCACATTTTATTGCGCCATACTTTTGAAGTTTATCCTCTCTGAGATGGAACAAGCGGCACTCGCACATCCATTCTTTCTACCCCAGGTCCGGAAAATAAAACGGCTTTGTACATACCCCACTCTTTGCTCATCCGTCTATCTATGGGGGATTGCTGTGGCGATGGAGAGGTGGCAACAGGAGACAGTTCGGTAGAGGCAGTCCTCGCAAAGGGATCGTTATCAGGTGTCCGCTGACTGGCGAAGGGGTCGCCTGTGCTTTGAGACCGTTCGGTTTTCGCGCTGCCCAACCCTTCCTGCTGGGAAGCAGCGGCAGCTTCTGGTAGAAGACGGTTTTGGTTAGGATATTCATTTTTCAACAACTTCTAGGGGCGATGGTATTCCCTGTTTCGAGGAGGGGAGCCAAAACTAGAGGGGAAGGAAGAATATACCATCCATCGTTGACGTGAATCCGGTGTTTGTGTGAGGGTCTACGTCTGCCATATTGGGGGAGTTGTGGAGGTCTACGTAGATACTCTGGTAGTTTGCCCTGAACGGAACAAGTTGAAGGATAAAGAGCTGTGATATTCGCGCGCCTCCTTTTGATTCAAGAAGGTATAGAGATGATAGAACGAGACAATGAAAGGCGTTAGAGGCATACAGAAGTATAGAGATCGTTCTTGTATTGGTAGGGTATATGTGAAGTTGGCAGCTTTGGGAGAAGAACAGGAATATGCGTCTATATATATTCGCATGATGACATGGATATTAACGGGAACTGCTGATTGTGGCTAATAATAAGAGCTGTTCAGCTTGGGAGGCGAGAAATGGCCTCTCTACCGACTACTTCATTTAAACTCAACGACTAAACTTTACCCATGATTTCAAAGACTTATTAGAACCGTTCAATACTGATTTCAGACATCAAACTAAGTTTTGAGGCAGCAGGAGAATCACATACAACCAAGGGAACCTACCTAGCCATACCAGTTCCTCTTCTCTAGCAGACCTGGCGGGGAATATGCAGCTGGCATACGGGAGCATACTGCAGATGCCAAGTCGAGTGGACAAAGGACATTTAAATGGGAGGAGGAATGATGCGCAAAAGACAGGTGGTATTGGGGCATGTTTCACCAAAATTGAATTCGAAGGCATGGATGGAGAATTCGGAAGGTAAACGGAGAAGACTGTAAGATCCAAGATATCCGGAGGAATGATGTGAAGGGTTGAATGAGCCCTCCCCGCCCAAGTTCATACTCTGCAGTGGACAGACAGCATTGCCAAGTAAACAAGTCACATCCGCTTACATGCCCTTTGGTGGAGGTTCCTCCGCGCATGATACCAATCAGAGCTTGTAGCAGCTCCCGATGCAATCCTAATCGGGTCGAAGGGTACTCCGTAGATTGCTTCAGCCGTCCCTAGCCAGTTGACATGCTTGAGGTCTTCAACTGCGGGATGGGAAAACAAATCAGAGGTTGACGTGCGTTTACCGACGAAAATGCCCAATATATATAAATCATGTCTCAAACCCTGTCGTCCTTGTACCTTTGCTGTGCCTTGGTCAATGGGGGTTTCAATTGCAGTTGGTTATAAGATCAGGAGATAATGCTTATTTATCCCACTTGCCTTGGTTTCGTCTGGCCCGGTGTCGAGAGGGCGAATCAAAACGATGCTGATTAAAGTTGTGCTGGAAATGGATAGCACCCCGTTGGCCAGTGTGAGTGGTTGCTTGTTGGAGACAAGATTGTGCCAGATTTATAACAAAATTCGTAACGAGTGACCTTGTTGGATGTTGGATGTTTTGTCGTTGCTGGATTCCTGGTAGATCAACGTCGCCGGCCGTCTGTTCCACGGATGTCTAGAACTACCTCAAAAGCCGAATAGTGCGGGTTGCTGGACTCCTAACTTGATACCGGATGCCGTTCAAACAAACTCTCCAGCGAATCAAAGCCCGGGGCGTGGTAGGAAACATATCCTCATCAGCCGCCTGGAAGTGCTGGGTAGGTATTTACTTCGAGGGTCCCACTGCTGATTCACACTTAAAAAGTTGTTGGTTTCTCATTTGCCTGTTTGTCCATTCAAAATGCCCATCATTGGACCATAATGAATCCTCGGGGTGATCTCGCCCGCTTTTCTTGGTTCGTTTAAGTGCCAGGAGGCTTAAAAGACATGGATGGAAGTGGGGTGCGAGCTGTGAGCGTATGTGCGGTTAAGTGGGGCTGTGGCTAAGCAAGTTCCGCAGCAGCTGTTGTTGATAGAACGGTTGTGGAGGTGGATTCTGTGGAGTTGGCCGAAAAAGTATGGGGTAGAGTAGGCAAGCTCTTGGAGCCTTTTTGAGATTTTTGAGCCATCATGGAATAGTTAATAGCTAGCAAAGCATCTGTGAGGCTGTCGTGTAGTTAACGACTTGTTAGAATCAAAACAAGTCAGAAAAAAAAAAAAAGGCTTTAAATTTTAGAATATTCTAAGTGACTTAATATTATTCTCTCTTAAAACACCTAGGTATATAACGACATGCATGTTTACGCTACAAACTCCCATAAATAATATAGAGATATCACACGTCATCTGGCAGGAAGAAAATTGTGTACCGTTGACCAGTCTTGTGCAATGCCAAGATGAATTCCACAGGAATTTCTTATGCAGATGCTCAAGCATTCATCCATATATGTCCACTAGCTGTCGCAACGAGTGGCAAAACGGCTAAACGCTTGGCGGTTATCCACTTGGTTCAATCAACGGGATTGTCATCGACGCCGTCAGCTGGAGCGGGTGATTTACTGGTTCTGGTTTTTTCATCTCCCTCCTCGCCGTCACGCGGAGACTTACGCTGCGGGGGGTCAGTTGAAGGGGGTGACTGGGGGGGTGTTGGTGTTGGTGTTGGTGTTTGCTGCTGTTGCTGCTGTTCGTCAGTTTTGGGTGGGAATATCTCAGCGAAGAGGTGAGGAAGAAATCGATCCAGGCGCCTTTGGGTCTCTACCCAAAGTGTTTCTCTAGATGGGTCTTCAGCGGGTGAAACCAAATAACCCCCGTCTGCCATGACGAGAAGTATGTTTTTTAGGCTTTCAGGTACCGCTTCCTCCTGTGTCTCAAACGCAATTCCGTAAGCCTTCCGTAACTTATAAAATAGCTCTAACGGTAGAATCAAAAACAAGCAATAAAACTTACAAGGCTATCTCCTTGTCCACTGTTCATCATTCGGTCCAAGATATCCAATATCTTCAGCCACAAATCCAACATTCCATCCCATTCCGAAAGCAAGACAAGATAATGAAGGAATATTTTGCAGACAAGAGTTGCCGCCTGAACACGGGTTTCGCTCATTCCCACGGGGTCCGATCGATACACTTCAGGTTTGAGAAGCTGTAAGATTAACGGAAATAACACTTCTGCAAAAATCGCGATCCACTCTGTGTGGTCAGTCGAGGCAAGCTCAGGTGACAACAGGGATCGCTGTAGCGCCGAGATAGCTTGGTGTCGAACCTCGCGACAGGGATTGAGGCATTGCGTTGTCAGTGCGTTAAATATTGGAGACCAGTATGCAGCCCACGCTTCAGTGAACGAATACGTTAGTATTGCATGCCCAGAGAATCAGGGGATCTCGCCTACGTACCTTCATTTCTTTCAAGGTGAGATTGTTCAATAAGTGTCGGCACACGGCCTGTCAAGTGGTAAATGAGACCGATCGCCTTAGTTCCCCGTTGCACAAATGGATTGTCCCTGACTGGGTTAGTGCTAGCGCTGGGTTTGGGAAAGAAAAAGGGAACCTAGGAAAGGATAAAACATACTGAGATTTAGGCTGCTTTACAGGTTTTACTCTCCTTCCCGAAGGATCTCTCCTTGGATTAGGTGCAGCAGCGATGCTTCCTGCACTTGCGAAATCGTTTGCAAGGCTTACACCCGACTCATAGTTGTCGGCTGAAATTACTGGTGGAGTGAAATGAACAATACGTTGAAGAAGCTCAAAAATCATAGGAGCCCCTTCTTGGTGTTTGTGTAGCCGCTGTAATATCGACCAGAAATCTGGTGACTTGGTGATTTCGCTTCTCAGTGGAGCAGCGTGTGTAATACAATCGGAGAGGCCTTTGATAATAGGAATGGCTGAGTTTTCCAATGTAGGTTGATCAAAAGTTGATATCGCATGAAGGACGACTGGTGCTCGCATAAAGGAGTGTTCCTACGTGATGTTAGCCGACTGAAGATATATGTTGAATTTTCTTGGGGGACATTACGCACGTAAGCATGACAGAGTAAATTGAGAAGATATGATATTGTTCGAGAAACTAGAAGAGAATGGAAGCTTTTAGAGTCTCGGACAATATTCTGTAGCGCGCTGGTAAGAAATTCCCCTAGTTCTCGAATGGTATCTTGATCCCGGAGGGTAAGAATAGTGGCCAATTCAAGTACGTATATCATTCCAGGGTCGTAGCTTGGTCTATTCGGATCAACTTTGCCGCTGGATGGTCGAGACGTGATGGTCTGAGGTCTTTCAGGCTTAACAACAATCACAGCTGGGCTTGTGTCGGGGAGATATAAAAGCAAGGTGTTGACTAAAGAAACAACTGACTCCACGGGCATGGAACTACGAAGGTTAGAATTGGAAAACCACAAGTTTTCACAGAGATTTACATACCTTATATTGGCAAGAACGTCAGGAATGGAGCATGCATTGATGCAGTCCACTGTGCATAGAGTGTTTTCAAGTTCCTCGTCAGATGGTTCAGGGGGATCGTCCGCAGCGTAGCTCGAGAGATATGACGTGAAGGCTGAAAGTAGACCCGTGTCATTGCCTCGTCCATCTCGGTCGATGATTTGCGATGGAGGTTGGAGTGGGATTGGAGGGATATTCAAGTTCGGTTTCATGCTCTCAAACTGAGGAATGAGTGAGTTTATGAACAGGTTATGTAAAATTTGGACAATGTACGTCCAGCCATCTCGGACGATTGCTTCATTTCCAGTCAGCACCCTGAACAACACCACTGTTGCCAGCTGTGCCCTGAAATCCCTGCCTAATTTTACCGCAAGCTCGCTAACCATGACGCTCTTTTTCTCAGCTTGAACCTCAGTATTGAGAGATGTATTAGGTGTTGTATCTGGAGCAAGGGTGCTTATGGAGCTAAGACAATATATGATGCGATCGAGCGCCTCTGTCAATTTGTACCGTGCAGCGATCTTGGCACATTGATCGAAGCCGATGACAACTCTTGAAAAGACTGCATCATCGGACGCAGACATAAAAACATAAGAAAGCGTTGCTACCACTGGTCGCCAGGTCACTTCGAACATTTCGGCGTCAAATACGTTGGATTCAAATATGGCCAATTCTCCAGCTCCCACAGTTTTCATGAGTAACTCTTTCCAAGCATAATCAAAAGCATGCTTATTTTCATGCTCATCGGGTAATATAATTTCATTGCGTTCAATAGAAGTGTATATGTCTTGAAGAAAGTCCGTGTCAAAATCTTTCCCCCCATTAACTCCTCGCAAGTTTTTTACAAAACCCTCAAACGACATTCGATCCTGGGGCTTGACATTCCGATTGTATAAGTTGGTGTTTAACATTATAATGGCATAGGTAAGGACGAAAAGTGAGTCTTTATCTGCGATACCAGCAGGCTGCACCCTGCTGATATACTTGTCCGAAAAGAAAGTTAAGATCCTGGTAATAAGGGGCGCTTCACCCGGTAGGCGGAAAGAGCCCAAGAGGTCCCGTAAAGCCTCATGCACACTTTTGCCGTTGAAATCGAGAAGACTGATGAATTCGTCAAGAAGAGGTTCGTTAGACTTTTTCGAAATATATTCTCCCAAAACCTTTTTCGATATTCGACTGGTCCCTCTGAGAAACTTTGCAACAAGTTGAGGGTTATCTGGGTCCTCTATAATACCATTAGAGGCGAGAAAAGCAATCCCAGCCTTGGGGTTTTCATTGAATTTCGAAGAGCCTTGGATAATGATTTTCTTCCGTTGACGCTGATATTTTAACTGTGCAGGGTCAGGAAGGTTGTCGTAGTTAGGCGGCTGGTCTAGCCTTTCAGCAATGAATTGCACATACCCCAAGAGGGCGCCAAGGCAAAGTGGAGGCACATTTGTAGTACTCCAAGTTGCTGAGTCCGGAAATGCGTTACGGGACAAAAGCCCAACCATATCTTCACAAAGATCGGCCCGGTCGACTTCGCAGTCATAATTAACAAAGAGCTCAACCATGAAACTGGGAATTCGCGCCAGGGCTCCTATACATTCCACCATGGCCTCTCTGGCCTCTGGCTTCCGAGATCCTCCTTCCAAACCAAGTTTTTGACGATCCTTAACAGGAACTGGTGTTGACCGTCCACTACTTGATTGTGACGGCGCCGGTTTCACCAGCTTGGGTGCCTGTGGAACACCAGCATAGAGGCTAGGATCGATTCCGGCTTCCCGTGGTATTTCTATTCTTGGATGCAAACACGCAACCAAGTAAGAGAGAAAAAGTTCCTGCTGCAATTTCAGGACATTCCGGCAGGTAGATAGAAGTGTCCCCGCAACCCGAAGAGATCCATTCAACAAAGCCATATTTTCAGACCTTACGAGTTGGAAAAGGTGGCGGCACAAGTCATCCTTTGCAAGTTGCGCAAGACTCGAGTGCCTCGCTATTGAGGGACCTGCAACTTCAAGAGCTACGTCGATTATCCTTAATGACATGATCCTCATGCTGTCAGTGTGTTGGCGGTTGTGCGGATCCAACAAGTCAATGAGAACGCGGAAGAGCTCCCGGATTGAGGGTAATGAATAGGGCTTAACTTCGGGAGACATGTTTTCGTGTGGTGCAGGGGCACTGGTAGCTGCTGAGTCGCCGTTGGTAATAGCCACTGAATCATCCTCACCACTGGTATGTTCCTTTTCAGGACTCGATGTATCCATGCCGAGGGCTGAAGGGTGTTGTGATGTAACAGTATCTCCGTCAACGGAAGGATCCATCTTGAAATTCCCAGATTCCTCAAGCGATTTCTCCTCCTGCAGGGAATCGTGTTCTACCATATCTTCCACACCCAACTGGGAAAGGCGCTGGAAGATGACCTGGCACATATTTATCATCGACATTTCAGCTGAGCGCCGAAGGACCTCTGATAGTCGAACTTGGCAGCACATGCTCAATCCTGTTTCCATCATTTCGCAAACACTTTCGTCTCCCAAGAGTTCACCCTCAGGCCTGGAAATCATGCCTTCCATTAGCTTGAGAATGCGGAGCAGGACAATTTCGTCAGCAGAAGAGTCGCTAGCTTCAAATCGGCAATGTGTGATGGCGGCTGATAGGAGCTGGAGAGCCATGGATAGGCGCGGAGAGTCTTTGTTAATGATATTGTAGGCGAAAAACTTCGTTATTGCAACCAAGGCAAGAGACGTAATCGGGGCGGAAGTCGAAGACGAACGAATAACTTGAAGGAAGGGATGCAGAAGAGCAGGGGTATCAAAATCGCGAATATCTTTACAGTCCTTGAGATCAATACGTAGACGGGTGAAAGCGGACATCAACGGATTATCCTGCAAGCTCTTTCCCTTCTTCCCCCTTAGGCCCCATCTACTTGAGAGTGCGTGTTCCCCTTCAACACCCAGAGTTCCAAATTTCGTCGGGGCGAATTTTGCCGGCGATTTCGCTGAGAGGGAGATATTTGACTGGACGGAAAGCTCTCGTTCGTAGGCTCGCGAAACACCACCACCGCCCAAAATAGCTGCGACAGAAGAATGAGCCCATCTCGAATGTTTTCGCATCGAGGATGTGACTGTAATGCATTCTGTCGTCACCAACTCAACCGGATTTACGGCGATTGGTATGGTGCTTTTTCCATTCATGTTGCCACTTTGATACATATCCGGTGGAGGGTTCTGGGCATCTTGAAGAGCCGAAATTGGTATGGAAGGCTCTAGAGTATCATGGGAATCATGGTCATTGGATCTCTCAAGCCCAATGGTCATATTTATTCTGCACGACTCGAATATAAAAAAATATTAGCGAAAGTTCTGACCAGGGGGAACATGCTCGAGAGTTTAGCCTGACCAAGACCACTGTTCGTTATGGAAAATGCAGGGCCTTTCAGTCAATGATTTGGCACATTAGCAAATATGCTGACGGACCCAAATCAAACCCACGACTCTTGCAGACAATCAATGACAATCCTGCAAATCTAGTGGCACAGTGAAGACTTGTCGGTGTCGAAGAAGAGTTGGCCAAAAGCGTGCTGGTGACATAAGCTGGGAGGCAGCTGGAGTGGGTTCCGTATCGGGTTTAGCGTCGACACGGCCTAACTAACCCCCCAGCTGCCTTCGAGGACTTCATTTGGTGATGATCTTCACTCCGCAGACACGCCCGTTTCTGGTGTTTTTCTTATATAGACGTAATGAAACCCTTGTACTTTGTACTGTGTCCCGTTGAGGGAGTTTTGTCTGTAGCCCAAACAAATTTCTGAACGACTTGCGACTTATTTCCACAACGAAGCGTGGTTCAAATCCGTTTCTTACAAATAAAATTTGAAAAATGTTGGTGCAAACTTTTTTGTTTAGACTTAGATTTGGGGATCTTTTGTGCTGGATCTTACCCACCATATCTATGGGCTGAAGAAGATCACTGTGAAGAAATAAACAATATGTCCCGTCGGGCACTCCCAATTAGGGGGAGTTCGACGACAATTTCTGGTCTATGTGTTCCACTCATTATGCTTCGGTAGTAGTGGATATCAACACCTATGATCACCCTTTCTTCTTAGGCCTCTGCCACAGTTTAGTATCCGTAAAACAAACAACCATGAATATACAGCGCAGATATTGCCCAGCTATCGTGAAACGGGGCTGCAAATCTGGCCGAGTTCAATATCACGTGAGCTTCAAGTTGGATAACGTAAGCTGGTTCAAACAACAACTAAACGCGCCTGTGGCCAATCAGAGCTGCAGGATCGGGCCAAACAACAGGCCCAGAACAGCGCATCAAAGAAACATGGGGGTCATAATAACTCACCGTACTTCTCCGCCCCGTGCAAGTTGACCGTTTGCTCCTCCTCAACTACACAGTCTGCTATGTTGAGATACTTGGCCTCTATCTCATTGGAAGTCATTCTTCCGATCCAGCAAAGCATTTCTACCTGCTATCCAACCATGTCTTGATCGCGAATTTGGGCTTCGGATCTGAGCTTTGGTTTTGTTTACTTTGCGATGCCCAACACTCCCAGCACGTTGGCGGCATACGTTGTGCCACAACTGTGTGCATTCCCACTCGATCGATTGGGCAGGGCGGTGCTCACATATTCTCTAAGCTGTTCCGCACGCCTTCCACTACAATCTGGACCTCCTGTCACCTGTTATTTACGCCGGCGCAACTCGCAGCAGGTAGGCGCCTCTCTCCTCCCTCCTCCCTCCTTACCCCACCATGACTTCTGTTTCGACGTCAATCGCGGGACTGCCCCTTGAGCAGCTTACTCTCTACCATGCCGTGGATTCCATCCTCTCGTCGGTTCTCATATTCTATGGTCCTGTCATAACAGCCAATTCCACGGTGCGAAGCTCGCGTTTCCAGGCACACATTATCGCAAGCGGAGGGATCCAAAGTTACCCCCGAATTACAATTTCCCCGACGGCTCCGCTCTATGCCGCGGTCAACCACCTCCCCCGGGATAAGCAAGGCGACGAAGTATATCGAGGGCTAGCGGTTTGTCTCTTTAAATATTTTGGTGACTTCTCTGAACCGGTCAGATATGTGTTGCTAGGAACTGCGCGGTCTGGAAAACTCTCAGCACGATTGCCAAATACATTCGACGAAATTCATGCTGCAGAGTTAGCGAATAAGATGCTGAGGGTAGAGGATCCCACAGAGATTATACGCGATATCAGGAATTCCTATAGCGATAAAATTGTGCCATGGATTGACGTGGACCTTGTTCTCCCTCCAGGTTCCATCGTTCCCCCCCGGGTTCTCCGAATTTCCGATTGTGACATTCGATCGCAGGAAGATTTCGCCAACCAATATGGCAAATATAGTCCATTGATTGAGCAACTTGGAGATCCAGTGTTCCTTCCAACTTCGAAGCTGCGACACGCTCCATCACAGCCCACAAACTCGAGCAAATCCAAATTCTTCTCTGCTGCCCAAAAGGAGACTCTCCGACTTTCCATGTGTGAAGTTGTCGACACCGAAGAGAGGTATGTGGGGAAGATGTACGACTTAGTGCATAATATTATTCGAAAGTTTTGCCAGAAAGCCGCCGACAAATCGCCAACCAGTTCAAGCCCTGATGAGACTGCTTTGAAACAACTTTTCCCTCCCTGTTTAAGTGAGATTCTCGAAGTGAACATTGGTTTTCTAGGCGAAATACGTCAAATACTTGAACAGACGGAAAAAGACGCGCTTGCAGATGTGTCAAAGGACACGACTATTGACTCGTCGTCCTTTCGCAGAGACTCTCGGGGGAAAAGGGTGGACCCGTTAGGAATTATCCAGTTTGCGCATGCTCTAGTAGATTGGTTCCCACGATTCTCTCAACCATATGGAGATTACATGCGTACTTATCATGGCTTCTCCCAAACGCTGAACACTTTTCTGAATGATAACCAATCCAGCTTCTCGAAGAGAGTGTACGAGGCTGGCGAACAAAGAATGCGTTCGATATTAATGGAACCGGTTCAGCGCCTTCCAAGATACAACCTTCTTATTGATGCTATGACGAGTGCGCTTCCGTCTATCCACCCGGCTGTTAGAACTCTCCTCAAAGCCCGAGATATCATCACAGAAATCTGCTCACTGGATTCGCATTCTTCGAAAGACATTTCCCAGGATCTAAAACGGCTTCAGGGCCTTATTCGAGGGTTTCCCGCATCCAGCCTACCCTCTGGACGATTGATAACTGCTGTTGACTTTTACGAGCTATTGCCTCCTTTTGATTTAAACTCTCCTGGAGTAGCAGCAGATCCGGGGATCCTTTTGCTCTATGGGGACTACTTGATCCTTTTATCAAAGGAGATTGAAAGTAGGATGACCGCTCGAGGACTATATGCTGAGCTGGGTAAGCCCCCAGCGGCACGCACTGACGAAGAACCAGCACCTCTCGAGCTCAGGTTTGCTCAGGCGCTGCGCATAACCAATATTCGCTGCACCCAATCGGCCTGTGGGCGTATCTTATATCTTACTCCAGCAGGAAACTTTGTGCAAAATGAGCGTTCCCGTTCCGGAACTGCTATGGTTGCTTTAGAGCTTTCATCCACCTATGAAGGCAAAGCTTGCCGTTTGATTGAAGAAATCACTAAAGCCCGGATTGAAGGACGATTTCCCGAACAGTATCGGGAACGTAGCAAATGGGGTCTTCGAAGTTTTAAAGGGGGCTCCTCAAATCTAGGTATTTTGATCTCGGTATTCGAGGATGAACCGAAAGATACTGCTGGTCAAAACCAATCATCAACTCTAAAAGTAATTTTCGACGGGACAAAAGCTACCAGATCAAAAGAGCTGAGCCGGCCAGAAGTAGAGGTTATTGCGTCGATTTCAAAGATTGCGGATGACAGATATAAAATGGAAATGGAATCTGTGGTAGGAGTCTCCTTCACGGACTCTTTTGCTGCCGCGGATTTTGCCGCAGTTTTCGCGAATCGAGGTAAGTCATTCATTTCCATCCATATTTTTATATTGAAATATGAAAACTGACAATGTAGATAGTCAATAACCTTCTTCGCCCTTTGCATCAGCCAGAGAACCCAATCCTTACATCAGCGATTCTAAACACTAACTTCAACATCATTCGCACCATTGCTGCCTACCTTTTAGGCCATGCAAAAGTTGGACGTGGATTCAAGCCTCCCTCTCCGTCCAAGCTTCTATCAAATATTTGGAATGGAAGTCCAAAAAGTCAATTGCCACCTTCGAGATCACTTTTACCTGGCCCCGTTCTTAAAGAAATTCCGCAGATCCCTCCCCCAGCACTCGACCATCCCAATGCGAAAAGCTCTAGGCCCACATCTGCAAATGATTCCACTCTTTTTGGAGAATCTGTTGAAGAGACGACACAGGATCTGTTGAAGTCCCTGGAAGAAACTTTTGCCGCCTATGTTATTGCAGTTCGCTCAAGAAGTGGGAATATTGTTGGCCGCATACTTCGCTCACGAAAGCAGGCCGACCCTGCCGCTGTTAATGAGCTATGTAATGCACTTTTGGAGGATGCTGGGAAAATTCAGTTGGCAGCCGAATCTTCAGTTGACGTTTTGTTTGTTGCGTTTGAGACTTTCATGGCCAAAGCCTGGAATGAGCATATAGGACCTCTAATACCTCCAGATACATTGCGCGTGATGCAGTCCAAGCTTGATTCACTATATCCGGGAGATTTTGAGGACTATTTTCGCCGTTCCTTAGCAGAAATGAGCCCTCAGAACCGTCGAGCTCTGGCAGCGCTGGTAAAGCTACTTGCTGAGTTACTAGATGCTTCTGGAAATGATGGTGATCGCGGTGCCCTCACCGCAACTTTCTCAGAAATTTTGACAGAGAAAGGCAATCCCATGCAACACATTTCACTGCTTGATCGTCTAGTGGAGGATTTAGATCGGCTTTTTGATGACAGTGGCACATGCAGTGTGCAAATAGAAGGGAATCTTGTAAACGATCCCACTGTTCCGCTCACTAGAATTCAACCAATGAATGTAGGATCAGGATCAGTCGGATCGAACGCGTCATCGTTTAGAAAGCGGTTCGGTTTCGGAAGTACCAGGGACCGTGGTAAATCTGAAAATGAAGGTAAAGTTAGTTCTATTATTCGAACACTCAGCAAATCCAAAACACATGGAGACACAGACTCGCAGCCATCGAGTCTTTCGAAGGCATCTCTCTTTCGATCCAAGTCTATCGAAACCGATTCTCGTTTAGCCAGCCTGTTGCGGCCTGGGTCAAGGGAGCGCCTTCACGCTCATGGCCTTTTCTCTGCATCTGCGGAGGACCAATCCTTGCGGCCAAACAGCTCACAAAGCAATACACCAATTCTGGCATCCATCGGCGAGGATTACTCCATGGTTATACCTGTTACAAGAAAGAAAAAAAGGCGGAGCTCTCTTTCTGATTTGGAAGCCTTGCCAACCCAAAACGTTACGACTTTACTTCCCGCTATTGAATTAAGACGTTCTCCTACTCCAACATCTCCACCTAATCCCTTACCTTCGCTGGACCCCACTTCTCCACGACAATTGAGGCAAACAGATGGGGCAGGCCCAGAAACACCGAATGCAAATCCTGTTACCAATCCATCTCCCTCACGACCTTCGCTATCCCCGCGCAAGGAGAACATTCCGCTAACTCCTAGGACCACGCTTGGAGAAAGAACAGCTAATAGAAAATCGAATCCAATCGTTCCACTACAGCTTAGCCCCAAGCGGAGAACGGACCCTCCTTCCTATATTCCATCCCCTAGTATCAACCAGTTCAAGGATCGAGTTACTTTGGCTAGCCCATCAGATGGTGCCAACGCTAGGCCACAGTCATCTTCATCTCCTCAGCGGACCCCGAAATTACGAATGCAGAACCCTAGGAAGGTATGTAGATGTCCAAATTGGCCCACATTCTGGTATTTTGTTTGCTAATTGAATAACTCATATGAATAGCTTCGTGAACGTCTCCTAAATGAGAAAAATGCGATAGCTAATTCGGAGGCGGAGGTAATTGCTGAGATTTCTGCTCTTGCAGATGAACTAGCTAGCACCAAAATGTCCCCGATTAAGCGACGGCCAGCGACACCTAAGTCGGTATCGTCACCTCAGTCAACGATAAGCTCTACCGCTACTCTTACAAATCGGGCTCGTTCTCTTGAGTCCAAGGTGATAGCTATGCTGTCAGAATTGTCAGCCAGGACCTCGGTTCTCGAGAAAGATATTGTAGACTCCCTCCTCGTAAGTGAGAGGAGGGCTAAAAACCTCGATGAGCTCTATCGTGAGGCAAGCGCAGAAAATAGCGCCCTTTATGAACGGTTTAATGTTGAACTGAGTAAAGTCACCAAGGAAGTGCGACTTGGAGCTGGTGAGGAAGCGCTGAAGGCTCAGTTGAAAAAAGCTTTGGATGAAGTGGCGAGGGTTAAGAAGGAGAATTTGAGATTGAAAAGGGAGATTGGGGGGTTGAAGGCGCAGCAGCTCGGATTTGTCAATAAGGATGGGCTGAAGAGTGAGGAGTGAGGGCATTATGGTGGTGTCGACATGATATGGCATGGTATAGGTGATGGGATTTGGATGGGACTGGGAAGGCATGATTGACGGAGTCCTGGGATTGACACGATTGTACATCTGGATGGATGGGATACGAGGCATGGATTGGCCAAATATCGGGGAATATGGACCTTTTTGCATTTGGAATGTTTTCTTTCTGTCTTTCTTTCTTTTCTCCCTTTTCTTCCTGCTTCTATTTCCATCCCAAGTTGGCTGGCATTGCTTTGCTACGGTGTATTTTTTCAGGGCTGGGAACGTGAATTTGATTATTGGGCGTGATGGGGTTTGGAATATGGTTGGATTTCTGTTTTGAAACGCTCAAACTATGGCGTTGTTTAAATTGCAGTCTTCCTATTGGAATAGGCACTAAGAGTTTAATACATGTAAGGGGATGAAGTAATTGATGATTGACTTAATTTGCAAGTTTCCTGGGGGTTGCTTTTGCAGCTCTTCCGAAGAGTTCTGCAGGAATCATTATCTTCACTTCGTGCTGAGAATCTTTACGACAGTTACTGGCATTTATTAATTGGGATCTCGACCTCGCCATACGTCACAATTGAATTTTCTCTATTTTTCTGTGGGCAAGAGATGCGTCTGATTCATAAACGAATAAACATGGGCACCAAAAAGTAAAGAAAACACCGGCTTATTTACTAGGAAAACCGGGGAATCATTCAGTATTGCATTAACTATATGGACAGGAGATAGGTGAATTCCGATCCTCTTCTTTTTTTTTTTAATGTTGTTCTCAGCTGCGCCAGTAGAAATCTTCTTCGCCCCCTGTATCCAGATCGCTATCGTCGTCTCTCAACATCCTATCATAATACCTATCCTCAAACTCGTCATCTAACAGATCATCAAAACTGCCACGTTCGTAATCATTTGGTGTCCAATCTCTCCAATCTTCAAGAAGTCGTGCAATGGTCAGATGGCCGTTCCTAGATGCAAATCCAATGGCCCTGTGATATTGCCAGGCACCGTCCCCTTCGGTCTTCGCTCCATTCTCCAGCAAAAACTGCACCATGTCTAGCCGTCCGTGTTCCGCTGCTGCTTCTAGTGCTGTCCGACCTTTTGTTCCTGCCCGAGCAGCATCGATTTGTGCCCCTCTTTCTAGAAGCTGTTTCGCTATGCCAAGATATCCCTTTGCAGCTGCAAGCTGCAGTGCCGTCGCGCCAGCATCCGGCGACAACTGGCCATTCACATCTGCCCCTGCCGCGAGGAGCATTTCGATGAGTTCCAGATGTCCATGTTCAACAGCAGCCTGAAGTGCCGATCGTGGTGGGAGTTCATTAGGTCCTTCACCCCAGTGGTCAAGAGTTGGCACACCAATAGCTGCTAGGGCATTTACATCTGCACCATGGTCTAGAAATAACCGCACAAGTTCGACTCGCTTACGGCGGGAAGCAAGTTGAAGTGGGGTATCAAGATCGCGATGAACGCGGGCGTTCACATCAGCTCCATTGGAAATGAGCTTAGAGATTTCTAATTCCGTACATTTCTCGATTGCGACGAGCAAGGAGAGGCCGTCAGGACGGTATCTCGCGTCCAGCAGGGATTGCACAATTTCCCAGTTTCCCCTCATGATCGCGGGCACTAAGGCGGAACAACGGATCATGGAGGAGTCATGCCAGAACTGGTTTTTGTAATTTTGACCTAGCAAATAATGGTAATGAAGAATCAAGTTTGTATAACCGTAATATCCCCGCAGGGGCACAATGCAGGTATTCAACTCCTCGAGGTCGAGGAGGCAGCTCAAGACTGGCCAGCTTGCCCTGTATGCCGCACAACCGACTGCAGTGCCTTCGAATAAGCGGTCCACCTTCCCGAACTTCCTTTGACGCAGGAGGTTTCTGATGGGAGTGATGGAACTTCCTGCTTTAAAGTTGCAAACTGCAGCACAAAGTGCCGCTGAATCATATCGCGTCGGACCGTGCTTAATTGACCAAAACATCTGCTGCCATTTTTGGCCCAAGCACGAAGCTTCTAAAATTGATTCTCCATTGGGACCTGTGTCTTGGAGACTGGCCCCATTGGCAAGAAGAACGTTGACTAGTCCCTGCTGTCCTGTCTTGAATGCGGAGAAAAGTTCGCCGCCCTGTAACCTAGCACCGTTGCGGAGCAGGTATGCCGCCAGATTGCCATATCCAGAGTCGAGGCAAACTTGAAGAGCTGTGCAGCCTTTCCAGCTCTTCTCATTTATGTCGATCCCTCGGTCTAATATTGCCTGTACTAGAGTCTCGTTATTAAAGTCGACCGCTTGAACGAGTTCCCCACCTATGAAGTTAGCGCCTGCATTCAACAGAATCATGGCACCTGTATCCGATTTTGTTGGAGGGCAGAGCGTTTTTGGGAGTTTGTGAAGGGCTAGTTGAAGTGGTGTGTGAAGATGAGCTATGATTTTATTGAGATCAGTCTGCCTTCTGTCGCGAAAATGCAGTCCCAGAATCGGACCGTCTTCCTCTGGCACAAGAGTAATATGGGAATTGATGTTGGCGCCATTATCTACAAGGAGTTCTACAAAGCGTGAATCACATTTAGCAGCAGCCATGTGCAATGCAGAAAGTTTGCTCCCACAATTCGGATCAGCACCAAGTTTAAGAAACATCGACGCGATTTTGAGGGTGGAGTAATTTTGCCAGACAGCGGTCTGGAGAGCAGTGAACCCTGAGCTGTTCTCTTCGTTCACACGGGCGCCGGCAGCGAGAAGAAGCTCAACCATATCAGCTCTTCCCTGGTGTGCAGCAACTGTTAACGCATCTTGTAAGATATCACGATCCTTTCTGCAATCATGGAGAGACAGAAGATATCGTAGAATCCGAAGACCCTCACTCTCAGCTGTCACGATCGCTACGCCTTCGTCCGCAGGCTCTGCGATTTCGTCATGCGATGTCCGGTCCATGTGCTTGGAGCGACCGGCAGCGAATGTGAGAGGTGTGAAGCCTGAGACGGGATCATTACAATACTGGGGTGGAACCCATCGGCGAATATCCGCCCCATTTTCAACAAGAAGTTTAGCCATCTTCAGGGTTCCACGTTTCGCAGTTATATGCAGGGCTGAAGCTTCGTTATCCTCCGTAACACCATCGACGTCAGCCCCGGCTTTGACCAAGAGCCCAGCCATCTCAACGCAACGAGCTCCTGTATCAACAGTATATTGAATCGGGCGTTCGACAGTGCCCATCATGCCCCCTTGGATTGGCTGATCTGGGTCAGCACCAACTTTCAGCAGTGCTTCTGCTATGTCCAAAGAGGAGGTAACGATTGCAGCTTCGAAGAGACCTTCAACGAACGCGGCAGTGGTTCGGTCGTGCTCCTCAGAAAACACTTTGACCCACAGTTTTCGTGGTAGGTTGACCTCCCTAAACATGCGGACGATCCTCTCAAATTTGCTCTCTATCTCTTCTCCCTCCCCGTCCTCGACACCCTCTATCAGGTTGTTCGATAGTTGATAAGCTAGAAGACGAAAGACTTCCAACTTAGCTTCGAGCGTTTCCCCACCGCCCGCTAATATCTCCATTGTGGCAGAGTGTTCTCCAGCAACGCTCTGTGGCATTGATTTACCAATCTCGGCCGCAGCGCGGGTGATGCCAGCTGCATTACTGGTGTTTAATTCAAAGTTCCTTGAACCCACCATAGCCACGTAAGCCGTATTTTCTCCTTTTGCTATTGCCTTAATATTGCACTCCTTGAGGAGGAACATCATCTTGGTCGGATCTAAAGCTTTTTAGCTGCAAATCAATATAACGTGAAGTAACGAGGTGACCCGCACCCTTGATGTAAACATTTTGGAACTGAAACCAAGGAAGGGAAACAGGCCATGAGACTTGTATTGGAGGAGGAGATACAGCTCTGACTTCCTGGAACTGAATTGATAATGGAGAAGACACTGGAGTGTACTTCAATATCAGCATAAATGATGGTCTTCTCCCAGGAGAGCAGGTCATACCTCGAGAGACCACAACAGTGCTACTGTTGTCGTTATCACTGTCATCCTCATTGATCATCGTCGTATCGACATCAACGCAAGTCCATGTCTCGTCCACATCATCATCCATAATAGTGCAACTGCTGGAAACATTTGAAGAGCAGTTCAAGGTCAGTCTGGCGGATAAATACATGTCCATTAGCCAAGAACACATACCAATAAAAACAATTAGTTAACTGATCTGGTCGAAAGTTGGGGTGTCAATATATGAAAGATGGAAGTAGAGTCGCTGGGTGGAACTGGACGATAAAAGGTATCATAAAACGAAAATCAGTCCCCATGGAGTGGTAGGATATGCACTCTTCGAATAACTAGTTGTTATTAAAAGCAGATTGTCAGTCCTCGTATTCTCGTGGCTATGCAGCCAAGTCCGTGATGAGCGAATCAGCTACATAGTGGAAGAAGTGCATCCCAACCTTTGACCTATCCAACCATGCAGAGAATTTACATCATGTTCAAAGAAGCTACTTCGCAACCAGTGAATGCTATCGAAAAATGCAACTCTGCGCCATCGAATTCCCAAGTTCCCTTCCTGCGTATCCGATGCCTAAAGAATCCCTCGACGTATCTCTATGCCCAAATCCCGTGAAGCCAATTTCAAAACGTCTTCCTCAATCTTTTTAAAACTAATTTGCCAATTCAACGACCAATGATCTATCACACTAGTCTTGCATATCCCTCGTGTTAAGGTTACTGGCATCCTTTCGCCAAACGACGGAAATGCGAGTACTCTTTGCTGGCCTGTGGCTTCTGCGATGACAGGAATCGTGTACCTCAATTTGTCTGGAGCATGATGCCAGAAATGCTGATCTAATTTCTTTCTCGTCCTCAGTGTTCTGATAGATTGATTTTCCACTTTTCTACCGCCCCAACTAAAGCGATTCTTATGGTGCCATATCTGGTATTGTAGAAGTTGTTTTCTGACTTCTGCTAAGTCTGAAATTTTCATCGGCCGAACTACAAGGGGGATGGGTGTGTCCCTATATTCATAGGGCCATTCTTCTATCGGATGTGTTCGGGGAACCTTTTCGGCCCCCAGGCGTATCCAGTATCTGTTATCCCAGAGTTGCCAATCAGACCAGGGCACGCTGTCTACATGATCTGCAGTAGATAAATCAGGAAGTTGGAGATTAAAACTGGAAGTAGGCAATGGAAGACGCCTTGGGAACGGCGCGCGTGTTAGGAGCCAAGTATTTTGGAATTCTGAAATAGAAGCAATAGCGTCATTCTGCTTCCTAGACTTAAATGCCTTAAGATGCAAATGAGGTTCTGCATCCCGCTTCTTTGGCACCTTTACAGGTTCAAACTTCACGCCGTCGACTGTAAAAATGTCCATTTTAAGGGGAGTTGGTGCATCACCATTAATCGCTTCAGATGCAGGAAAAATTATTTGTAGCGCCGATTTGAATTTATGAAATGGTACATGATTCTTTTGACTCGGCAAAATGACATCCAAAAAGCGCCGTAAAGTGATGACTATGGCTTTTTGGGTCATAATGGAAGTAGGGTTAACAGGATCAGCCAGGCCTACCCCAAAGTTTTGAATCAGACGGGGGTTGGGAAAATTGATAACAAGACTGCCAGTTCGAAGATCGAGTTTGATGATTTGAGATTTTCTCAAAAAGATATTTGACTGCCTGTTGAGTTCCTCTGAGACTTGCTTGCTATTTTCGATTAGTTGTAATATTGACGGAGCCCGCAGCGCACGAGGAAGCATGTCATTGGACAAGAGATATCGTAATGTGTTACGAGAAGTGACGGTAGGATCAAAATTAGTTTTGTCGATTGCGAACTTTATGTTGTTCTGAAGACAGGTGGAAGTCAAGCGTGATTTTGGAAAGGAACTAAACGGTCGGAAGAGGTAAATGCCACCATCTGAAATGGGGAGTAAAATATCGTTGCTGTGGGGGGTGTTTGGATTAATTCCCCAAGCCTGTTTGAGTTGTGATTCGTCTGGTCGTTCTCTGTTGTGGACTGAATGTCTCCTTCTGGCCGGGTCTATCCTGCTTTTCACATTCTTGAGCTTGATAAATGACCCGCTTTCAGCCAACCCGTAGATGCCATGACATTCTGGTATATGTCCTACGCTGGCTACGCCTGTGAAACCGGATGCCTGACGTTGTCCCCGAACTAAGCGACTAAGTACTGTTTCCACAGTATCATCCTGATGGTGTCCCAGAAAAAGAGCCTGGATGTTATATTCCTTGCAAGCATGACCAAGCATTTGGTAGCGATATTTCCGGGCCGAGGTTTCAAAGTTGGATAGACTGGACGGGATAGTCCCGCTGGCCCAACGAAGGGTTAGAATTGAAGGCTCAAAACCTGAAACGCCAGTAAATATAACAGTGGACGATTAGCATACGGAAACGGACAGGAAATTCCATTTGAAAATGTCAACAGTAATATATCGTCTAAAGCCATACCCAGATCTTTAAGCCAACTCGCAACTTTATGTGCCTCCTCCGTGCTCCCCTCTCGAGCCTTGTGATCCACTATGAACGGCTTCACGTTTAGGTCGGGAATTAGGCGTTCCGAGATCAATTGCTTGGAGAGAAAGGCCAGTGCCATCGAATCTGATCCACCGCTGACAGCCAGTGCTAATAGGGGGGCGGCTACATTAGTAAAATGTTCATTTGCAGAAACCTATGGTATGGGGAGCACACCTATCCTCGACGGCTTGCTTGGTTTCTTGGAGACCCACCATATTTTCCACAGGTTTGTTACGGCCTCATAGAACTCATTGGGAGAGATAGGCATATGGCTATCAGGTCGCAAAGACCTCAGAGCCATTTAACCGGCAGAAATATTGACAAAACTTGTATTTCAATCTTTCAATTTTTCAATCTATTCGGAGAGTTCGACATATCACGTGACATACACATGCTGCTTCGGGACCAGCGAATGGATTTTGGCTGGCATATGTTGAAGTATAGTTTACGTGTATTGAGTTCAAAATAGAAGAAAACTGTTCTTTGTAACCTCAAGTCCCAATATGAATGCTGGATGGTGTATTCTAAGATCCTTCGTTACACGTACTCTATCAAGTTAAATAGAAATACCCTAATAAGCGTATTATTTCTATGGAACTCATTCTCGAGGTGATTCGAAATTTTCCTTGGCTTTTTATCATTAATTAGATTATTACCATGAGGGTTTGCGTCTATAAAAGGTTGGTAGTCAGGATTTGGGAGTTGCTTTGCCCATTGCAAGTCGGCATGCCGAACTTTCGGCCTTGGCCTTTTCCCAATGTTTTGTTGCCGATACACCACAACCGTAGAACAAAAGAGAGTTCCAGATGCGCTTCGACCGACCTCCTTTCACAACACCATACGAGAATGCGTTCATACACATTATTGTTGATAAATATGTGATACTGACACTGGCCAATTACACTTCATCAACTACCTGCGAGCGCCATGGCCGGGATTGAGCCTCCCGAACTGGAGCTGAGTCCGGCAGAGCCGTCCCTTTGGACGAGGTCGCTCTTAGTACGCAATGATTTCCTATTGATATATATATATCCATATTTATACGTACAGCTGAATCCTGCTTACATTCGTGCTTTTCGTAGTCTGGGGCTGTGGCAGGTCTTACAGTTGACATTTCCCTCTTCCCTCTCGACACAATCAAAACCCGCCTGCAGCAAGCTCGAAAACGCACAGTCTCCGCAACTAAAACCTCAACGCCATCTCTCCGTCAAGCCGTCCGCGGAATTTATGCTGGCCTCCCCTCCGTCCTCCTCGGATCCGCCCCTTCAGCTGCTAGCTTTTTTATCGTTTATGATGGTGTAAAGCGACACCTTCAACCCACTCCATTGTCCTCGACTCCTACGTCATGGCAACATACAGTCCTCACACATTCCCTTGCTTCATCTCTTGGCGAAATATCCGCATGTGCTGTCCGAGTTCCTACGGAAGTGATTAAACAACGCGCCCAAGCGGGGTTGTTTGGTGGGTCTACACTTCTTGCACTCAAGGATATTCTTTCGTTAAGACACTCAGGGACTGGGGGCACCACTGATAGACGGAGAGGAGGTTTGGGGCTTGTTATAAGAGAATTATACCGCGGCACATCCATCACCATTGCACGAGAGATACCTTTTACTGTTTTCCAGTTTACGATGTGGGAGGCAATGAAAGACGCATATGCGTCCCGAACAGCAGGATTAGATGCTGGTACCGTCACTGGGTCTGGATCGAAAGGTATATCTGCGGCGCCAAGTGCATTGTTCGGCAGCCTTGCGGGATCGATTGCTGCTGGCCTGACAACTCCACTCGATGTTGTCAAAACTAGAGTAATGTTGGCCAGGAGAGAAGGTAGTGATAAGGTGCGAGTGAGAGATGTTGTGTGCGGAATTTTGAAGGAAGAAGGAATTGGAGCGTTCTGGAGAGGAATCGGACCGAGAGTTGCGTGGATTGGAATTGGAGGTGCAGTGTTTCTGGGCAGTTACCAGTTTACTTGGAACATGCTTGAGGCCAAGCAGGATGGGAAGAAACACACCAGACCAGAGCCTCTGTGATGGTGATGTCAGACGCTCGGAAGTGACCATGTTGAAATCTTAGGATGAGTATATTTCTGATATTTGTACAGTACATTACAACATTTACATTTACGGCATCTAGATATAGACATAAGAACTATGTAACAGATAATGTAAATACGTTTCATTGAAGTTGGTTGACAGAATATTATGAGAGAGGTATGTGAGTGATAGACTTTCAACAAGTTATTTCAAATCTTTAAAAAAAAAAAGGGGGGGGGGGGGGGGGGGGGGGGAATTTATCTCTCAGAAATCCTTTTGTTTCCCACCCCATTCGCTGATACAGGAACAAGCAACTGCTGTTAAACTTCTCTCCTGTCAAACATCCAATGCAACCTCTGATCAGTTGCAATATTATACCCTAGAGGAAGATGTTTCCACCCTCGCCTCCGCTTTTCAACTAGGTACCTAGATTAGCACATATAACTGATAAACCCATATCACAATTTATATATATTACACAATCAATTCTTATGAAACACGCCTAACGGCAGCGGTGAAAAAGAAAAAATTCACCGGACAGGTCTTCACAGGATCCAGTGTCATTATCCCACGAATTAATACATTGTAGTACCCGAAGGCAGGGTGTGTGTGTAACACACGGTATAGATGAGACCAATTGCTTGTTTGTTTGCATGCAGTTAAACCCGTTATTAATCGCCTTAGATAATTGTTCACATATCAAATCTCATATAGAAGGTTGTCTTCTGCAGTTCGAACGTTTTCCACCTGCGAAGACCAGTTCTAGCCCGTAAGACAACTAAGGAACATAGAAATGGTGGCAAGATTCAAAGGAGAGACTCTGCAACAGCCAATAAAAGGCTTCGTCCGTATTTGGCCATTCGATGCTTTATACGTGGGAATAGAACTGCTTAGATATAGATTTGGTTGTTTGCGAAGATTCGTGACCTTTGTTCCGGGGCTGGCTGCACGGTCTGAGATGACCCATAGACCTGTGGAGTTGTCTCCGAAATAGCACTGGAAACTGAATTCTCATGGACAAGGTTAAGTTATATAAGCTCATTGTGGTGATGAAATATGATTCTGGTTTCTCGTAGTTTATGTGTATATGTCAAGATAGATCTTTGTGAATGGGGATGAAGTAAATACAGAAGCTCTGATTGGTGCGGAAGCTGCCAAGCCGTATTGGCCGTGTATGAAACGCCCGTATTTTAATTCAGTCGTTATAAACATGCCTAGGGTTGGACGTAAAACTGCTGTATTGGCCTGTAATGAACATATAATTTATGACATATATTACTAGCTCTATATTTAATTTCCGGCGGCTGATTATATAAGCGCGGAGATCAAGGGCTCCAACCACTCCGCGAGTCCTACAACAGAAACCCCAACTCTGTAGAGCAGCAGAGATTAAAATTCGAAACTATTATACGAGTCGCATGTTTTGAAATGATGTGCTTTCTGTAGATTTTGTCCCTGCCTTGGAGATTCCACCCACATGGCTTGGTTAAATTGCCTCGAAACTGACGCCGTCGCCTGAGATCACCGTGCACAGGCTGGCTGCGTCCGCTCATTTGTCCATTTCTCCGCTATAAAAGACCCCAATGGCGAGGAAGTTCAGCCAGCGGGTAAGCTATGGTTGGTTTTCCTGTTTCCGCTATGTCAATAATTGCTGCTTTGTGTTTGCAGCTGTTTGCGCAATGACTGCTAACTCCCAACTTTACCACAGTACTACCTATGCCAGATGCTCCTGGTGGTCATCGGCTCGGCGTAAATGGGCTGGCCGTTGATACTGGGAGCTCAATCTTGTAAGCCTACAACTTCTCATCTTTTATACCAAGCCAGGTCGTATAGAATTATCAACACTGGCGCAGGTCGCGCGGCTTTCGGCTCATTTTAAACAGCCAACGTCAGTATTGAGCAAGTAACTGACCTGTCGCATAGGTATTCTGCTGGCCGTGATGGAGTCATTTGTGCCTGGGATTTAAATCTTAGCCTCAGCTCTGGAGTTGCTTCCAACCTATTTTCGTCTTCTTCAGGCGCCGCATCCGCCAATTTGGTCTCCGATTCAAGTCCTAAATCCATAGAACCGACATCGTTCCGCCGCCAGGTTCAAGCGCATACCCATTGGATTAACGATATTGTCCTTGCGCAAAGCAACACAACACTTGTTTCTGCATCGTCGGATACAACAGTTAGGGTATGGCGGCCTGAGTCTGAGGATATGCAGTTACCGCCGACAATCGGCAAACATGGTGACTACGTAAAATGCCTAGCGACACCAGAATCGCATTCTCAATGGGTCGCTTCGGGTGGTTTAGACCACAAAATATATGTCTGGGATTTAAACGGCGCCGGGGAAAAGTTGAAAATTGATTTGTCCGAAGACGAACTTACAACTAAAGGTTCCTTATATGCTCTGAGCACAAAGGGGTCGATATTGGCGAGTGGAGGGCCAGAATGCGTGGTTCGCGTGTGGGATCACAGATCCGGGAAATTGATCACAAAGTTTGTTGGGCACACGGATAATGTGCGAGACATACTAATTAACCAAGACGGTGATACAATTATGACTGCGTCCTCTGATCAAACGGTCAAAGTGTGGTCCATGTCAGCTGGCAGATGTATGCACACCTTAACCATGCATAATGACAGTGTTTGGTCGTTGTTCTCAGATCACCCCCAACTATCCGTATTCTACTCGAGTGATAGGTCAGGTTTGGTTGCCAAAACCGATACGAGAAGGGCTTCAGATATTGACCAAGGCGTTTGTGTGGCTGCTTTGCAGGAAAACGACGGTGTCGTGAAGGTTATCGCTGCAGGTGATTACATATGGACTGCAACACCAAAATCAAGCATTAACCGCTGGAACGATGTCGATACAACAGCGGAAGCTGAACTGCCAGTTTTGTCATCACATCGACATACCTGCAGCGCGGCTTCCTGTCAGAGCGTTGGATCACCTCAATCTCTAAGTGAAGTTCCAGCGTCTATGGCAACGCCACGGAGAATTCCTCGGGAGTCATTTTTACAACTGTCAAATGCGGCTGCTTCAGTGAGTGGACTTGTGGCTCATGAAATACTGCTTAATGACGATCTGGAGTTGGTTGTTCCCTTTCAAGCACCAGAAGAAACAATAGTGGGACAGAATGGCTTAATCAAACATGTCATGCTAAACGACAGGAAGCATGCTCTGACGCAAGACACAGCAGGAGAGGTAGTACTCTGGGATCTCCTAAAGGTTCGTGGAAATCAAGTCGAACGCCCCTGAAAATTCCCTCCTAATATGAGTTCTACAGTGTATTCCAATTCAATCATTTGGCAAGCGTCATCTGGACGACGTTGCATCTGAAGTCAATACGACGGACACCATAGCTAACTGGTGCACCTTGGATACGCGCACAGGGCGACTGTCTGTGATTCTGGAGTCAAATCGTTGTTTTGATGGTGAAATATATGCGGATGAAACGGATATTGCTAATCTGAGCCAGTTTAGAGAAGATCAAAGGAGTGCGTTCCATCCCTGTCTTCTACCAAACCCCACACATATGATATACAACCCCTAACGTTTTGCATATCAATCACGCAGTTAATCTTGGGAAATGGATCCTGCGGCATTTATTTGCCGGCCTAATTGAAGAAGAAATCAAACGAGACAGAGAGTATCGGCAGACGCTCGAAGAAAGGTCAAGGGAGACGACTGGAACTTCACGCCTGAATGTCCCAGATTCAATAGAAGCTCAGAGAATACTCAACCAGAGTGTAGCCGAGGCTGGGCCTTATGGTGCAGTCCGACCATCATCAAATGGAATGCTCGCTCCCAGAACTCCTGGCCTTTCCATTGGATTTGCTACCCAAGAAGGGCAATCGGCCTTTTCTGATAACCTTGGAAGTGGCCCCCTAACTTCAACATCCACGGCTCACGTTAAGGACCAGAGTGATTATTTTGCCTCTTCTACCAATACACATACTGTAGACTCTCCAGACCCTAATGCAAAGACTCCATGTTCCGCAGAGGATGAATCACAATCACAGTTTGGAACCTCACTAGCAGACACAGAAAAGGAAGATAAGCCTGGTAAACGCAGTGGATCTCGCTTTGGCAAAAAGTTCCAAATGTCCTTCCCTAAAAAGCTAGGGAGAACCTCCACAGAAACGAAACCAATTATCGAGGAGAAAGCCGAGGAGTCCGACAAGTCATCTGAGAAGGAAAAAGTGTTCGATGAGAACTTGAAAGGGGTTATTGAGAAGATTAGGTTCGAATACGAGGAATACTTGAACGAACACCCCGGACGGCCCTTGGAAACTAGCATTAAGCCAAGCGCAGAAAATGAGACACCAACGCTTACATTACCCGCAAATACAGCAATTCTAATTCAGGAAGAACATCCCGAATCGGCCGTTCCTGCGGACCTGTACCGAGGGACGGTAGGGACTGCCGGCGAAGATGCTGATGAGCTGGAGAAAGCTGCTCCGAAATGGCTTGGAGAGTTTCTTTTACGCGTGAGTGCCCATGTTTTGCGACGGTGGAGCCGTCCTTTTTTATCAGCGGAATATGAGTACGAACTGACCAATTCTCGTAGAACACAATACCTTTCAAAGAAGTATCCAAAGTCGCATTCTCGTTGAAACCTTACAAAGACCTACTACCTCCCGTTGTCAATGCAGATGCGTATGTATCTCTTTAAATTTTTTTTTTTTTTTTTTTTTTGATTTTTCTATCAAAATCTCTCTGTATCCCAATGACCCTATTATATGCAATCTATTCCTCGATCTCACCGGTCCTTTTTAAATCTAATACTTTTCTCAAAAGCCTTGCAAACAACTCCGCTTCCCGTCTAAACGCCAACCGCATGCTCCGCGCCAAAAAACTCCTCGCATACGTTGTCGAGCGCATCGACCCACAAGACCCCAACGACCCTGATGCTAATCCGCTAAAACCGGAAGAATATCTGGAACTGTATTGTCAAAACACCGTAAGTTAGATCCCATCAATCCTAATTTGGTCGGATAGAAACCCACCCAAACATTCAACCTCTTGGCCCAAAGTGAAAAAAAGAAAAGGGGCAGTCTTAGGATCTTTCTCACCTGTACGACATCGGCAACTAACCTCGCAATTACTAGCTCATCCCGCCCGACATGACCCTCTCCACCATCCGCACCCATATCTGGCGAACAGGAAATGATATGGTCCTGTTTTACAAAGCCAATGGCAAACGGGAGATTCCCATGCCACGCTCAGAAGCCACAACTCCAGCTCAAGCCCCAATTTCAACCTCTCTAGCAAAAGTTGGGAGCGACGATGCAGATTTGCCGATGAAGATGTCGATGCTTGGCGTATCAGGGGTGTCTGATGCTAACGTGGCTGGTGGTGGTAATGGTTCCGTGATATCTGCGACATCTAGATCAGCATCTACTACAGGGGCGATAGAAACTTAGGCACTAAGTGTGGGTGGATGCTGCGGGGAGGGATATTCACGGGCCTTCTTTCTATTGAGCCTTGTTCGTATGTTTTTCCTTTTTTTCCTCTTCCATTTCCACATTTCATGCCATTAATGTTACTTCTAATTTTGGGGACTTTTCTATGTGTCATTCGTCTGCTTCTCACAGAGGCGCAGGTGGATCAATTGCATATATTAGAATGGATAGCCTAGCTGCTGTATGGAGGGGAGGCGGCGGGTGTGATTTATTTCTAACCTCTCCGTGTACTTTGCATCCGATCACGATAGCATACGTATATATTTGGAGCAAACTTTGGGTATATAATTTTATGAATAAACCGGCTACCTCATCACGCTCCTTACACAGCCATCTTTCTATTCCTGTCCAATAAATAAATAAATAAATAAATAAATAAATAAATATTTATTTTTATTTTATTTTATTTTTGGAATAATAGGAAATTGAACAGGAAGAACAAGGGGAGTTCTCACAACTCGTCCCATCCATTCCCATCTACACATTCTACAACCCGATCTCCCTCAACCCCTACGACAAAGCATCAAAACGCTTAAAGTCCAGCCCATCCTCTCCAAGCGCCCTCTCCAAGCGCCCAAGCGAACGCATCACCCAACTGCCTGTCCTTAATTATATAGTCCATGTCTTCTCAATGGCTTCTGCCGTATCCCACGTCCACCACCCTGTTGCCCTCCTTATCCCAGAAGTAATGGTCCACCACCCCTAGCAAACTTAGGTTTGGTGGCATCACGTTCGTCATAGGTACCGCCCTAGTGAAAGATGCAGCGTATCTTGCCGGTGGTCCACCTACCCACGAGAAAGCTCTCGCTTGCCTGAGATTATGTTTAGTTAATGGATCTTTTATAAGGATTATCTGGCCGCCTATGGGATTCTCGTTGCAGTTGGAACCCGTTTCTGCTGACTCAGTGTGGAACCATTTGACATAGAGCGCAAAGCCGAGATTTGTCTTTGCGGCAGGAATGTCACGTTGCAAGTAGGTAGATGTCTACTGCTTGTAGCGAGAGACCTAGTCTCGTATGGTGTTTTGTAATGTTATCCCTTCTATTATTGAAGAAATCTACAGATTCCGTTGATAGTTATGGGGTTCCGTTTCCTGGCATGCAGCCCGATCATATCGCGGCGTAGGCCCGGGGACAGCGGCTAAAATTTATATGTTTGTTTAGGCCTACCACAGATCGCAGCTCGGAGAGATACAATGGGAAGGCCGATCATTCCCTGGCTGCTTGAGGGTTGGGGATTCCTCTTGGTGAATGCGTATGAACAAGTATACCCCTTGGTTCCTAATGGATAAGGTATACAGGCTATGGAATAGTTATCAAGTAGACTTACCCAGAGATATTCCCAGTCTATATCAACTCCTATAATGAAACTCACCGCTCCGCCCGACTTCCATCTCAAAAAAAAAAAAAAGAAAAAGAAAAACCCATCCCCCAACCGGGGACAAAAGAACCACCACTCAAACAAAAAGAAAAGTCAAAAATAAAAATAAAAATAAAAAATAAAAATAAAAATAAAAACTCACCAACCGCCCCAAGCCCTTTCACCATATCCTCCACATTCCCCACCCACCTCTTCCCTCGACTCCTCCGTCCGCCAACCCTTCCGAAAACCAGCTCGTATGCGCGCCCCCCCCCCAATAGAAATCATAATCCTTCGTTCCCGGCGCAAAACTTGGCTCGTACATCCTTTTACGATGGTGAAGAGCTAGCTCCTTCTGCCACTCGGCCGCGGTCGTCCGGGTAGGTTTATTGAAGAGGGCTGATGTCATGCATGCATGCATGCTAGCGTGATGTGTGTTGAGGGCGCGACCTGGGCGGGGGAGAGGTAGTTGGGGGTGTCGGGTGTGGGGTGTCCGGTTGTTGCTTATATGAGAGGCGGAACGGGGTTGGATTTGTGTGGTTACGATTTTGAGGATGGTTTTTCAGCGTTTACCTGTATATCTTGTCTCTTTGTCATTGCTAGGTTGGCGAGGAGGAGAGAAAATCGAAGGAATTTGGTG